TTGGTATTGCATAAAGGGAGAGAGATAGTATTCTGAAATTTGATATTTAGATTACTGATAGTGTCTGTGTTTGAGATTTGGCGGTGGTTTGGAAATGTGTCCTGCATTTGTACGAAAAGTACTAAATTGTACTAAATTTTAAATTGGGTGAAGGGATAGGACTGAAATCCTCAAATTTAAAATTTATGTCTCTGTTGGTAACTGAAATTGAGATATGGAGGTGGTTTTGTAAATGTGTACCATAATTGTTTAAAAAGTACTAAGTGGTACTAAATTGGTTCTTGAGTGAAGGGATAGAGATGGAATCCCTAAATTTGATATTGAGATCTCCGTTGGTATCTGGAATTGAGATATGTAGATGATTTTGGAAATGTGTACTATAATTATTCGAAAAGTACTATGTGATACTACATTTGGTATTGAGTGAAGGCATTGAGCTGGAATCCTCGAATTTTATATTAATCTTTTTGTTGGTATCTGAAGTTATATGAGTTATGGAAATTGTTTTAAAAATGCGTACTTTAAATTTATGAAAAAGACATATATGCTAGTTAATTTGCTATTAAATAAGGGGATAGAGCTAGAATCCTGAAATTTGATATAGATGTCACTTTTGGTGTCTGTGGAGCTGTATTGATATATGTGTACTATAATTGTAATAAATAGTACCAAATTTGATAATGGGGCAACGTACATAGTTTAAATCCCGAAATTTGATATTAAGGCCTCTGTTGATATCTGGGATTGAGATTTTGTGGTAGGTTTGCAAATGCGTACTATAATTGTCCGAAAAGTATCAAATAGTACTAATATTGGATCACTGTTGGTGTCTAGGATGAAGAGATCTAGATAGTTTTTTTTAGGATATGCGTACTAAATGTTACTAAATTTGGTATTGGGTGAACGGATAGAGCTGAGATTTTGAAATTTAAGATCGAGTTCACTAGGGGGACTTTGAAATAGTTATGGGCAGAAAAATTGGTTGTAGGTCCATTGTGCAATGGTTCTTTTAATATCCTCTCCGGTAAACTTGAAAATGAACGATTTTGAAGACCTTTTTGTAAACATTTTCCTATTACTCTTTCCGAAAAAGGAAATTTTGAAAAATATATAGAACTTTGAAATCTGAATATTTTTAAAAATTTTTAATTGATTAAACATTTTTATCAAAGTGTACAAATTGTGAATTTTGAGTAATATCTAAAGTTTTAAGGTGGGACGAAGTAGTGGCCCTTTTGCTAGTCTCATATAAAGTGAAGGAATTAGTCGATATATAGTCCAAATTTGGCACATTGTAATATTTATGTAAGACTTCTTCGAAACCACCCCCATAAAGGGCCAAAGGTTTGAATAATCAGTACGCTGATTTTTAACTTTTTTTTATTATTTATTAATTTTTTTCTTTTTTTTTAAATTTTTTGCACTTGTCGCATACGTAAAAAACTTGTATAAAACCTATCCTCTCCATTAATTATTTTCTGAATAACAACAAAAGAAATATTTATTGCATTTTTACGCTTTTGTTGTTGTTTCGAGGGGGCCAAACTGGCTCACTACTGGTATTTTCTTGTTGCTATTTCTGATGATGGCTGGTTTCCTAGCCATATTTAGTCATGCCTAACACTGTTTGTGTGTTAACAATCTAGTTTTGGCCAAAAAATTGTGGTCTGGCTGCCTGGTTGGTGTCTATTTGTAATCTTCACGTTTTGGAGGTTTCTTTTGGCGGCAAACACACGCACACACACATCGACACTGAGTCACTGCACAATGCAACCAACTGCAATGCATGCACCCACATTTCGTTTCAATATGGAATTGATAGCCGCAACAACAATAGCAACAAAAGAAACCTTCATTTTTTTGTCATAATTTTTATTTGGTGTTAATGTTGAGTCACAATTTCCATTTCCATTTTTTCACCATTTTTATTTCTTTTTTAAACTTGAAAACAATAACAAAAAAAAACAATTTGATGATATATTGTTCCATGGTATCTGTGACGACACTGCTTTGGTTGGGGAGGCGTTGATGAAGATGTATCGCTTGGTGTGGATAAATCGACAAAAAATGTTAATTTTCAACAATTAAAACATGATTTTGAAAAAGCTTAATTTTTTACTGAGAAATTCAAATTTGTTAAGAGATTAAAATTTATAGCGATTTTTGGCATCTAAAATGAGGAGGCATTGGGTATTATTCCCCCATTGAAAGCCCACGTTATTTGCTTAATATGCAGTTTTCAAAAATTTTAAATACTTTTTTTAAATTCCAATTTTATTGAGTGAAATATTTTATTGAATATTCATCAAAATTATGGAATTTTTAAAAATACTTTTTCATCTATGAAATTTCAAAATTAGTTCAACGGCTTCTGATAGAACTAGCGTCACCTGTATGTCATACTTTTAGACTTTAAATCCTCTTTTTATACCCTTTTTATATACCCCTTTTTATATCCCTTTTTATACCCATATGGCTAGAGAGGTTATATATCATTTGATACGGCCAAAACGAGCCTCATCGAAATAACGGTTTTAGACCCTCTATCTCTTTGGACCAAATCTGTCTCAGGGCATTTGGATTCGATCTAGCGATGTCCGTCCTTCCCCGCCTGTCTGACTGGCTGGTGCGTGCGATAACTCTCAAAGAGAGCATCCGATTAGCTCCGAACTTGGTACTCGTAATATTATTATCAAACTTAGATCGAGTTCGGAGATGGGCAATATTGGTCCACTCCTTCTGGACCCTCCCCCACAAAAAGTATATTATATTTTCAAAGAAAATAATTTTCTGCACAGAAAGAGAAAGGATAATCCCATTTTGCTCCTACTTTTCATATCCCAATAATTTCGTCACTCCATCAAGTACCTCCCCCAGAAGGGGTCAACATATTGAATAATTACAACTCTTATAAATTGTGATGTAAGAGTCCAATTGTCTTCAAATTTCGCACATCCCAATGTTTTTATAAACCCAAGACCTGGTGTGAAAATGGAATATATCCGTCCACTCCTTTTGGTACCTCCCCCACAAAGGGTCAAAATTTCGAATAATCCTAAAGCTCATAGAGCGCGAAATTACCATCCGATTCCATTCAGATTTGGCATATCTCAATATTTCTATCAAAACAAGATTTCTTATAAAGATGACAGAGATCGGACCATTCCTTCTGGTACCTCCCCCACAAAGGTTCAAAATTTTGAATAACCAAAACGATTATAAAATCCGAAATAAGCACCCGGTTCTCTTCAATTTACACACATCACAATATTTTAATTAAGACAAGATCTGGTGTTAAGATGGGATATATCGGCTCACTCCTTCTGGAACCTCCCCCGCAAAGGGAAAAAATTTTGAATATCCATGGAGCTCATAAAACGCGAATTACCATCCGATTCCATTCAGACTTGGCACATCCCAATATTTATATCAAAACAAGATATTTTATAAAGATGGTAGAGATCGAACCATTCCTTCCGGTACCTCCCCACAAAGGCTCAAAATATTGAATAACCAAAACGATTTTTAAATCCAAAATAAGTATCCGGTTCTCTTCAATTTACACACATCACAATATTTTAATTAAGGCAAGATCTGGTGTGAAGATGGGATATATCGGCCCACTCCTTCTGGAAACTCCCCCGCAAAGGGTAAAAATTTTGAAAAGCTCATAAAACCCGAAATTACCATCCGATTCCATTCAGACTTGACACATCCCAATATTTATATCAAAACAAGATATTTTATAAAGATGGTAGAGATCGGACCATTCCTTCTGATACCTCACCCACAAAGGTTCAAAGTTTTGAATAACAAAAACGATTATAAAATCCAAAATAAGTATCTGGTTCTCTTCATATTTCAAACATCCCATTTTTTCTACTAATACAAGATCCGCTCCGAAGATGGGATATCTCGGCCCACTCCTTCTGGTACCTCCCCCACAAAGGGTTAAAATTTTGAATAACCAAAAGATTATAAAATCAAAAATAAGTATCCGGTTCTCTTCAAATTGCACACCTCATAATATTTTAATAAAGCCAAGGTCTGGTGTGAAGACGATATATATCTCTAATATTTTTCGAAACAAATCAGCGATTCTTTTAAAATTGGTAACCTGATCTCTGACATAAATATAGAATTTATCAGCTCACTCCTTCTGGTACCTTCCCACAAAATGTTTAAATTTTGATTAATAAATACATTTTAGATGCTTTATTCGGTACATCACGCACATTTCCTATCTTTCCAAAAATTATTGCATTTCTCATGAAAAGGAGAAGTAGTCGATATATCCCAAATCTGGTACATTTATATAAGGCTTAGGTCAGATACGAAATGGACAACTCCTTTGGAACCGACCCCATATAGGGGTCACCAATTTGGATAATCGTAAGACAAGTCAAAGTATGTTAAAATAAACAAAAATTGGCTGAGGATATACATCTGTCGGTAAGACCGACTGATACTTTTTAACATTTTTTTATTTTTGTATTTCATTTCCAAATCTTTTTTTTATTTCCTCAAAAAATTTAAAAAATGTTCTCTATTTGGATTTATTTTTTATCCCAAAAAAATACATGCCTTTGAGGCCCATTCCGGCAAACCCGTTTTTGGTTACAGTTCTTTCCATATTTCCAATAAAAAAAATTGGTTGCCAATTTTGGTGGCCAGTTCGCTGACTGTCGCCAAAAACCATGACCATTGACCACAGAAGAAACATTAAAACTTCACCATTGGCTACTTAATATTCCAGGCTTGTAGATGGCAGCCCGGCCCAGCCAAACCACTGAGGCTTCAGACTTCCTTTTTATCACCACCCATCAAAACAAAAACAGTGATGAGCAACAGCTTGCCATGTGGAAGTGACGACGACGACACGAGTCAATAATTTAAACAAGTCACGTAGCATTTTTATTTTTATTTGTTTAATAAACAAATGATGACTATTATATACTAATTTCCCCTCTCTCTCTTCTTTCTCTCCCTTTCTCTTGTAGGATCCCGATGCCTGGGTTTCGGTACATCATTTACAGACACAATGCGGTATCTTGGACCCGGACGACTGTGTCCGTGATGTGGCCGATGATCGTGAATACATTCACGCCAGCTTTGAAGATTCTGGACCGGATCCAGGTGTGCCACAGGGTGGTGGAGATGGAGCCTCGGGCAGTTCATCCGTTGGCACAGGATCACCGGATATTTTCCGTGATCCCACAAACACAGATGCACCCACCAATGGTGGCCACATCGATAACTCAACACCTCATATTGAGGTGACGAGCACAACGGCATGCCCCATCACAGGGTTGGGCCTACAGGTTCGACGCAGCAGTGATCCAAATTTATTGGCCTCCCTTAAGGCGGGGGAGAATGGCAACAAACGTTGGTCTGCCGCCGCACCACATTGCGGTGGTGGGGATTCACCCGACAGGGTGTTAATGGAAAAAACTGGCTATCTACCCCCTCAATGGGAGGAGGAAGATGATGGGGGTCCACATCATGTACAGGCTGCCCATGCCGCCCATCAACCCTTTGCCCGTTCGGGACGTTTATCAATGCAATTTTTGGGTGACGGCACCGGTTACAAATGGATGGAGGCCGCCGAAAAGTTGCAACAACAAAATCAATACCCCTCCGCCACACAACAGGCCTCAGGTCAACATCATTCCCAACATGCCCAGCAACAGACAAATTTCTTCTCCAGCAAATCCCTGCCTCGAGAGAGTACCCGCAAAGAACCCCTCGGACAGGCCTATGAATCGATACGAGAAAAAGACGGAGAAATGCTTTTACTCATCAATGAGTATGGCAGCCCCCTAGGTCTGACCGCCATACCGGACAATGAACATGGCGGTGGCCTGCTGGTCCAACACGTCGAACCCGGTAGTCGCGCTGAGCGTGGCCGTTTGCGCAAAGGAGATCGCATACTCGAAATTAATGGCACCAAACTAATTGGCCTTACCGAACTTAAGGTACAGGAATATCTACGCAAAGCTTTGGAAGCTTCAGAGTTAAGGGTGCGCGTAATACGCGGCAATAGCAGCAAGGATAGTAAATATCGTCGCCGTGACTCGAAAGTGGCTGAAATGATTGAGGCCGAAGAGAAAATGTCTACAGGTGTAGAATCGAAAGTGGCCACAGTATCGCCCACTCGAAAACCCCATACCGCTCCCGTAGGAGCTTCACTACAAGTGGCCAACACCCGAAAATTGGGCCGTAAAATAGAAATTATTTTAAAGAAAGGACCCAATGGTTTGGGTTTCTCCGTCACCACTCGAGATAATCCTGCCGGTGGCCATTGTCCCATATACATTAAGAATATCCTACCCAAGGGTGCAGCCATTGAGGATGGCCGTTTGAAACCGGGAGATAGACTATTGGAAGTTGATGGTATTCTTATGACGGGTAAAACACAAACAGACGTGGTCTCCATTCTGAGGGCGACCCAGCCGGGTGCCACAGTCCGCTTGGTAGTTTCCAGGCAAACGGAATTGGCCGAACCGGAGGAAAGGGAAATCGTAAGTATTTCACAATTTTAGTAGCTAATAAATTTCAAGTTTTTATTCCGAAATTGCAGAAAAGAAATAAACGATTTTGAAAGAAGGTTAAAGTTCGAGACACATCTGCTGGCCTTTTGAGAACTTTTTTCGAGAGGAAATGACATCAGATTCGAGTATTTTCATGAAATTCAAAAATCTAGACCAGAAAGTCTTCTAATGGAATATTAGAAGATCTCATAGAAGACCCGAAAGTCTTGTAATAAATGACCAGAAGATCTTTCTATAGGGTGCCAAAATGTCTTCTTGGAGAAGACCTGAACGTCTTGTCATAAAAGACTGGAATGTCTTCTCATAAAAGACCAAAAGGTATTCTTATAGAAAACCAGAAATTCTTCTTGGGGAACACCAGAAGGTCTTCTTTTAGAGGTCTAGAAGATTTTGGAGAAGACCCAAAGGTCTTCACTTAAAGGCCACAAAGTCTTCTAATAGAAGACCAATAGGTCTTCTCATGGAATACCAATAGGTCTTCTCATAGAAAACCAGAAGGCCTTCTCATAAAAGATCGGAAAGTCTTCTCATATAAGACCAGAAAGTCTTCTCATGGAAAACCAAAAAATCTTCTTATAGAAGACCGGAAGATCTTGTAGAAAACCAGAAGGTATTTTTGTAGAAGACCAGAAAGTCTTCCTGCGGAAGACCAACAGATATTATTGTAGAAGACCGGAAGATAGTCTTGTAGAAGACCTGAAGCTCTTCTTGTAGAAGACCAGAAGTACTTCTCATAGAAGACCAGATGGCCTTCTCATAGAATACCAGAAGGCCTTCTTATAGAATACCAGAAAGTCTTCTCATAGAAGAAGAAAACGAAGAGGTCTTCTCTTTAAAAGACCAGAAAATCTTCTTGGAGAAGACCAGAATATCTCCTTCGAGAAGATCAGAAGGTCTTTTGGAAAAGACCAAAAGGTCTACTTACAGAGAATACTAGGTCGTCTAAAAGTCTGCCTGGACCTTTAGTGTTTATTTCATCTATGAAAAGACTACCTGGAGCTCGAGCTTCAGCTCGTCTTTAAAAAGACTCCCTGATGTTCAGCCTCAGACTGCCGACGATTAAGTCTTCAGCTCATATTTTTTTTTTTAGGGTTCAGCTCGACTTTATAGACTTCCCGTGACACTTCAGTTCAGATCTCAGCTTGTTTATAAAGGATCCCACTGGGCGTTCAGTGTTTGGTTTGTTTAAAGAGACTCCCTATCCCTGCAATATTCAACTCATCTATCAAAAGATTGATTGGCGCTTCAGCCTTCAGCTCGTCTTTTAAAATATTTCCTGGTCATTCAGCGTTCAACTTGTCTATAACGACTCTCTTTGGCCCTTCCACCGTCAGCTCGTCTATAAGAAGAGCTTCTGGGACTCCAGTGTTCAACTCGTCTATAGATAGACTCCATTTCCTTTCAGTCTGTAATTAGTCTACAAAGACTCGCTTTTACTTCACTTTGCAGCTCGTCTATAAGGACTCGCTGCTGCACTTCATGCTCAGCTAGTCTATAAACCTAGGGCTAAGCTAGTCTTAAAAGACCCGCTGGACCTTCAGTTCACTTAGAAATACTCTTAAAAGATATTAAACCCCAGAAATTTGTAAAATTTGACTTTTTGTGAATCGGTGCCAAATTTCCCCATTAAAACTCAGTTTAGGAAAATGTTGTCAGAGACAAAAAAAATCTCCACAAAATTCCACGAGAGGTCGCCGGCGGTATAAAATCTGTAATATAAAATATACCATCAATATTTCTTAATCAAATTGGCACATTTCGTATTCATGTTGATACTAGCAATGCTGCTGCACTTTTCCGGAAAAACGTGGTAAAAGTATCATAAAACTTGCTTTTAGCCAAAAAGTGTCAGAGGAATAAATGTTCCTCATAAAATTTTACTATAGGTCACCGAAGATATGAAATCGATATATATAATATATGCCAAGAAAATATAGGAATCAAATTTCATCAAAATTTACTGTTTTCCCTCAAAAAGAATTATTAGCTTTTTTGGAGTTGGAAGTGAATTTTTTAATAAAACTCGATTTTAGACGAACAGAGTCAAAGGAAACAATGTTCCTCATAAAATTTTACCAAAAGTCATTCAGATGTGAAATCTGTATATATAATATTTATCAAGGAAAAGGCGGAATCAAATTTCGTCATATTTCTCTGACTTATTTCCAAAAAATTAATTTGAACCTTTTTCGAGTTGGGGGGTTAATTCTTAATAAAACTAAATTTTAGGCGAAAGGTGTCAAAGGAAAAAATGTTCCTCATCAAATTTTACTATAAGTCACTGAAGATATGAAATCTGTATATATAATATATATCAAGAAAATGTTGAAATCAAATTTCGTCATATTTCACTGACTTATTTTATAAAAATTGATTTGCACGTTTTTTCGATTTGGCGATGGATTCTTAATAAGACTTGATTTAGGCGAAAAGTGTCAAAGGAAAAAATGTTCTTCATAAAATTGAACTAAAAATTACTGATGATGAGAAATCAGTAAAGTAAATAATATTCCAAAATATTTTTCTTATGGGTTTTAGAATAAACTATATGTGTAGAAGCATTGGCCTCAATAACTCATTTCATAATTGACAAATTTGTTAAACATTTTGTTTCCTCTTCTTTTCAGAATTTCGAAAACAAAGAAAATGAATTTGACTCACCCCCGAAGCCACCGGCACCTGTTCTACCACAAACGCCACACTATGAGGTAAAGAAGTCGCAAAGTGCCCGCTCCCTCTTCGAACAACATCAGCAGCATCAAAATCACAATCTAAATGAATCTCAGCATTTTATTGATGCCGGCAGTGAATCGGCAGCGTCAAGTGTAAGTTTTGAATCTTTTTTCCGATCATTAAATTATTTTTCTAATCCAAATTTTTTTTCTTTTTCTATTTTGCATGCTACAGGACAGCCTACAAGCCGGCTTATCCTGGCGTTCTCGGGAAATGCTAACGCTACACATACCCGTACACGATACCGAAAAGGCGGGTTTGGGCGTTAGCGTTAAGGGAAAAACCACAACCAATTTGACGGGCTCTTCGAATGGCAGTTCTACGGGTTCCATGAAAAATGACGGGGATTTGGGTATATTCGTTAAAAGTGTTATACATGGTGGTGCCGCATCGCGAGATGGTCGTTTGCGTATGAACGACCAGTTGATAAGTGTCAATGGTGTTACCCTATTGGGGCAGAGTAATGCCGAAGCCATGGACACACTGAAACGTGCCATTGTCAATAATCCAGGAAAACATCCAGGCATGATAACACTGCAGGTTGCACGTAAAATTACCCGATCGTCGAGTTCGGGTGATATACTCGAGCACACCAATGAAAGTTCCAATACCAGTGAGAATAGTGGTGCCACGGTTATTTATTTGAGTCCCGAGAAAAGAAGCGATCACAATCGTAATGCAGCCGGTGGTTCATCGGCATCAAATGAAATGAATCGGTGGGTAGTTTTTTTTAACATTTTAATTAAATGTTATTCTAATTTGATTTTTTTTTCAATTTCCAGTTGGAGCAACCCCGTTTTAGATCGCCTAACCGGTGGTGCTTGCTCCGGCAGTTCAACACAAAAAGGCCGTTCAAATGCCATCACTGGAACGGCAACGGTTATGTCAACTGGCGGCGGTGGTGGTGGTAGTAGCAATGCGTCTGGCAAATCCAGCCAGAGTGGTGCTCATGCTCTACGTAATGAGAGCTATTACATGGCCACAAATGACACCTGGTCCCCAGCCAATTTCAATCATAATCAAAAGCTTATCAATAATTCTGTATTGATAGAACATGATCCGGAACCAACATCACCGTAAGTATTCAAATTTTTGGAGTGAATTCAAAACGTTTGAATAATGATTTCACATACCTTCTTTTATGGGTACTAAAATAATGGACTGATAAGTTTGAGAACTGAAAACACAGAGGAAGGATTTAGGATAAAAATCGATATTCGAGAAAAATTAAATGTCTAATCTGAGTAGGTTCTGTGGACTTAATTAAGAAATTGTCTTTCAATCTAAAATCAAAATAATCTAAAATTGAAAATGGGAACTGGTTTTAGATGTAACCCCCAAAGCCTTTGATTTAGTCGACGCCTTAAAAATTATTGCCTCCATAGGATTTGTGGCTATTGGAGTATTTTAGCCTAATCGACTGGGAAGTTCTGTAGACATAGACAGAAAAAGGGCGAATATGAATAGGTTCTGTGGACTTAATTAGGAAATTGTCTTTCAATCTGAAATCAAAACATATTGAAAATGGGAACTGGTTTTAGAAATAACCCCCAAAAGCCCTTGACCTAATCAACAGGGAAGTTCTGTAGACTTAGATAGAAGATAGTGTGGAAGTGACCCCCATATATTTGTACATGTAGTTCGTTTCAAAGTCTGTGCCTTCAAAATAATTTTCTCCATAGCTCGCAGCTATTGCATTATTTTGACCTAATCGACGCCAACTTTATAAAACAACAAATGCAAAGACCCCCCGAACCTTCCCTTTAGCTGTTTACCAAATAACGTCTCTCCTCTGCATGTATTTCGATTAATTAGAAGATCTGTCATAGCGAAGGCACAGAACTTTCTCGCAAGCTGTTGATTCCTCTAAATCAGGGCAAGTTTAATGCCAATATCGATACGCCTTCATTTATATGGTCTCATTGGCCTTATAATTCTTTATATTCCTTTACAGATCATTCCCCAATATTTCTGTTGCGACTTTCTTGCAACCTATAGATTGTTCGGAATATAATCTAATTCCATATTCCTAATTTATTCAGGGTCTATATTAGTGTACCGACTAAAACAATCGGTTGCTCTTTGATACCAGAGTTGCGTTTTTGACATTTTTTTCTGTGTCGATGAATACTTAGACGGTCATGGCACCTTCCGAATCACATTAGACGGTTATGGCTGAGAAGCTATCTTCAAATTCCTCTTCAAGTTCCTCTTGTTGCACAGAAAATTCTTAAATATACCCTTTTCCCCCAACGAGTATATCTATATTCATGACTATGGAATTCAGTTTGACTGCTCTGCCGAATTTAAATGACCTACCATTTTGAAATTTTCGGAAATATTGGAATTTTCGCCCCTATCAGTAAAGGAGAGTTTGGCCTTGTTGTTCGCCTAATTCAGCCTGATGCTCCTTGGGCGCACGTTTATCAACGTGGTTTCATTTGAACACTCCCGGTATCCTGCCGGTATGCAATGATAATCGTATGGTCGAAGGGCATCCTTGTATTAGGAGGTCTGTCTTTAGAAACATTTTGCTTATTTAAATGCTTTAGCTTTTTTCTGGTCATCTTGCCAGTGAGGCTGTCTCAGTCCCACAAAATTGGAAATAGATTATTGGGATTTGCAGCTACCCTAGGATGCTAACAGTTCCTAACTTATCATAAAGTTTGGCACAGTCAAACCTGCCTCCCATTTACCTTCTTATTTTTAATCTTTCCCCTTTATCTGTTTCTTTTCCACATAGTACCCTACCACATAGACCAAATGAGTCTATTGCCTCCAGTATAACCAACAATTCCTCCAATGGAACCCAATCTGCCATTAGCAGCGGAGGAGCTACAGGAGGACCACAAAATTTCGATGCCACCTATTCATCGCAGTTGAGTCTGGAAACAAATTCCGGTGTTGAGCATTTCAGTCGTGATGCTTTGGGCAGACGTTCTATATCGGAAAAACATCATGCCGCTCTGGATGCTCGAGAAACAGGAACCTATCAACGCAACAAGAAATTGAGAGAAGAACGTGAACGGCGTGTGGCCCAAACGAAATCGGCAATTTATGGTTCAATGGAATCATTGACGGCAAGAATTGCCGAAGCCAACTCCAGAATTCCCGGCTATAAACATGCCAAAACCAACTCGGGAATAGAACAACAACAATTGCAGTCGGAATCTAGAGATCAAGTTGGCGATTTGGGTCCTTCGTTGGGTTTGAAGAAATCCTCATCGCTGGAATCCTTGCAGACCATGGTGCAGGAGATACAAATGTCCGATGAGCCAAGGGGTGGACCAACAACGTTGAGGGCTCCCCGGGGCAGGGGTCGGGAGGAGAGTCTAAGAGCTGCTGTCTCTAGTGATCATGATGTTAAGAGTAAGTTTTTGAGAAGGAATTTCAATTTTCCAAGCATTTGGATTAATTTTTCGTTTTGTATTTCTAGAAGCTAAACAAACCTGGCTTTTGGAAGATGGCGACCCCTCCGAGGGTGGTTTTAATCAACGCAATGGTCCCTGTCAATCCTCCTTGAATGATGGCAAAAAATCTCGTGCCAAAAAGCCGGGCATTTTGCGTGGCATCGGCTACATGTTCCGTTTTGGTAAAAATCGCAAAGACGGCGTCACACCGGTCGAGTCCCAGCCTCCAATTACAAATAATGCGGCCAATGAAAGAACTCCAGCCAATAATCAAATTCCAGTGGCAGCCTTGGCGGCTTTGGATCGTAATCCCAAATTGGCACCACCAGCCTATCAACCTCCACCACCATTGCCGCCAGCCAATGCCAATGGTACGGGTGGCGGAGGAAGCAACAGCAGTGAAGCCATGGCGGCAGCCTTAGCTGCTGGTATCCATCAAAATGACATTTTCAATCATCGCTATCAACACTATTCGAATTATGAAGAACTACACAATCATCATCAACAAATTAGGTGAGAGAGCGTTACAGTATTTTTCCAAAAAGAAAATTCATTTCCCAAAAAAAATGTTCATGTCCCTAACCCACCACCCTGCATTTTAAACAATAGCAAACACATATCCTCAGTTTCATTTCATTTATTCTCACTCTCTCCCTCAATGTTGTTTAATGTTTTCGGTTAAGGTTACAACACGAACAACAACAACAACAACAACATCACACAAGGAGTGGTTTGCACCATCATTATTATTAGGAGCCATCCAAGAAAACCTAAACGCCAACATCATTATTATTTTTTTGATGGAAGTGAAAATACTTTGTTTTCTAAATTTTCATATCCTTTCAAGAGAATTGAATTTCATACCCTGGAATTTAATCACAAACTACTAATACTCATGCAATATCATCCAAATATTTTTCATAAATCTCAAATTGTTTTGCAACTTTTTTTCTCTCTTCTTTTTTGTCTCACCACTACTAATCTACAAAACAAACATTTTCGATATCGAAACAAAAAATTATAAATTTATATAAATTGTACAAAAAACATCTTATTTCCTACTTATATTTTCAACACCCTCACCACACACACACACACATCCTTATACACCCAAAACCAAAACTCGAAAAAACGAAAATCTCAAAATCAAAACAAAAAACACTAATAGCGATGATAACTGCTCAAATAGTGATGTTTTATCGGAATCAACCTTAGAATGCATGCGTCAACAGGTTCTATGGCAGCGCCTTAAAGTCGAAGCAGAAAGGTAACATATACAACAAATCTTACCATACCGAGATACATATCTTTTGTTCCTCTAATGCATTGTTTTCAATTGCTTCGATTTGATTTTCTTTTTCGAATTTACTGCTTCTATTTTTTAGATTTTTTTATTTATTTTTTAAAATTGTTTGCTTTTGTTGTTAAGCTTTGCATGTCTTCACTGCCATTAGTATTCTTATTTTTTTGTTTTTTTTTTTTTTTTTTAATTTGAAATTATATTTTTTTTAATTTATTTTTTTAATTTTGTTAGTGATTCTTATGCATTTTAGCCCTTAAAGTTTAGACACAATCTATGCCAATACATGGGGCAGTCCAGGTTTTAATTATTTTAAAGTATTCTAAGAAATATGTATAGAAGTCTGTATATCCGATTTATGACAAATAGAAGGAAGAGAGAGAGAGAGTTTGAAATTCTACCATGACTGTTTTCCTACTTCCTTAAACGTAGTTAATGCAAATTCTGCTACAGGGTGAGATGAAAAAACTGCAACCAACTTCAAACTGCTATCACTTCTAAGCTACTCGTCCGACTACTCTGTTAAAATTATTCCAATGACAGCTCATTATATTGTTTACAAGCGTACAAAAGCGTTTTGGTAAGGATTTTCCTGAAAAAAACTTATTCCTGATGGAATTCAAGCGTGATAGTGTGATTTCTTTATGTTCGGCTGGAAAACAACAAGTGGCTATCGTTAGAGTACTCCAGCATTTAAATGTGAATAAATCTTTTGTGTCTCGTACTATCGTTCGTTACCGTGATCCTGGTAGCGTAGCCCGACGTCAAAGAAGTGAACGGAAGAAACCAGTAACATCAGCAGAAATGTTTCGAAAAATAAAGAAGCGACTTGATCGAAACCCGCGTCGCAGTGGCCGAAAAATGGCTCGTGAGCTGAACATATCGCAATATTCCATTCGGCAAATATTGAAAAATGAGCTCGGGGTAAAGCCATTGAAATTCTAAAAATTCCAATAGAAAGAAAATAGTCTCAAATGAGCTAAGGAGTAGTTTCGCTTGGCCGAAAGTGGTGAACTGTCGAATTTGGTTTTCTCCGATGAGAAAACATTCCTTGTCCAGCTGTTTGTAAACAAACAAAATGATCGTGTTTACTTGCCAAAGAGGTCAGCCACCAGAACTCAAGCGCTATGAAAATCAAAAAAAAATTATGGCGTTTGTTGCAGTTTTTTATCTCACCCTGTATATACTGTATTTGCACTTTATTTATATTCGGTATTTTGATGTTTTTAACCACTACAACCTATGGCGGCAAATTGTCTATGCAGGTCCACGACTTAGTTTAGTCCCCATACAACGGTACCTGCCTTTAATCGGTATTTTGATGATATTAGCGGCATTATTCACCGAAATTGTTTCGAATCTCGTATATGAAGTTCGAAATCGTTACTACAGCCTATGACAGAAAATTACTTATCCAGCACCACGTCTTCGTATAGCCCCCATTTAAAGGTTTTTATTTGAGTGGTATTTTTCGACGGAATTTTTTATTGAAAATTTTCAAAATCCTTCCAAATAGTGGAGGGCAAAAAAATTTTTCTAACTTAGGCTCTGCATTCCTATTGAGTTCAATTGCCATGAATATCTTTTTTAGGAAGACTTCTATTTAGGTTTTGGGAAGCGAACTTAAAATTGGTACCCTTGACGAAGCTGTTACCACATACTGAAATTTCGGAACCCGGTATTAAACCATTTCAAAACTGCTTCAAAGGAAAATTCTTGGTTCTTGTTCTATGAAAATATACGAAAAAAATTTTTTTTTGAAAGTTTTTTAATACATTTTGAGTTTATTATAATTTTCCCCAATTGGACCAATGCATTCTAAGTTGATCTGCTGAAAATTGTATTTTTTGCAGTTACCTATCAGAATTTATGTAGATCTGTAGTTATCACTCTTTGCTTGGCTATTATGTTGCTTAACGACATATTTTCTCTACAGAAAAGTTGTTATCAGCAGCTTTTCTTTACAAAATAGTTGTTATCGACAAATTTTCTCCATAGAAGAGTTGTTATCGACAACTTTTCACTTTAGAAAAGTTGTTATCTACAACTTTTTTCTATAGAAAAGTTGTTATCGACAACTTTTCTCTTTAGACAACTTTTATCGACTTTTCTCTTTAGAAAAGTTGTTATCGACAACTTTTCTCCACAGAAAAGTTGTTATCGACAACTTTTCTCCACAGAAAAGTTGTTATCGACAACTTTTCTCCACAGAAAAGTTGTTATCGACAACTTTTCTCCACAGAAAAGTTGTTATCGACAACTTTTCTCCACAGAAAAGTTGTTATCGACAACTTTTCTCCACAGAAAAATTGTTATCGACAACTTTTCTCCACAGAAAAGTTGTTATCGACAACTTTTCTCCACAGAAAAGTTGTTATCGACAACTTTTCTCCACAGAAAAGTTGTTATCGACAACTTTTCTCCACAGAAAAGTGGTTATCGACAACTTTTCTCCACAGAAAAGTGGTTATCGACAACTTTTCTCCACAGAAAAGTTGTTATCGACAACTTTTCTCCACAGAAAAGTTGTTATCGACAACTTTTCTCCACAGAAAAGTTGTTATCGACAACTTTTCTCCACAGAAAAGTAATTATATAAAGTAGTTATATAATTTTTATATGACAAATTTTTAAAATACCATTTATTTGCTTTTTTATCCTGTTGTAGTGCTACTGTTGTCCATGCTTATTTTCGTATAAATATTTTACTCATTTCATTGAAAAAAAAAAACAAATATATTTTTCATTAATATTTTTAAATATTTATTTCTTATATTTTCATAAAAAAAATCGTATGTGCTTTTGCTCCGCCCGGCGTTTGTATATATAAATATGTAAAAAAAAAACAAAATATCAACATGGTTTGAATTGGTGGTGCGGTGCGCTTTCCCAACAATATATATACATATTTGTTATTGTAAATATAGTCGACGTCATCAACATTATCATTCGCAACGCAGTGCGCGCTCACAGGACATCAATATGCAAAACTATTCGCATAACAACAATCACCACAACAGCAATAGCAACAGCAACAACAACAATAACTTAAACACCAGTAGCAATAGTAAGAATAGCAGTATTCGCTCCACAAATCCCATCTATTACGACTATGAGACAGCACAACATAATCTAAGCCAAAGCTCATCATCAGCGGGCCCAAATAATCCCTCATTAAATGGTAGTTTCCAACATCGTACAGGCAGTATTAAACAACACAACAATGGCCATATAACGGTAAATGCCGGTCAACAGTCACCTTCTACGGCGGCGGCGGCAGCAGCAGCTGCTGCAGCGGCAGCCCAGGCCCATTGGAAATCGGCAGCCATGAATGGCTTCTCACCGGCCACGTTGAACAGTAGTGCAAGGTCACGAGGTCCGTTTGTTACGCATGTAACTTTGGGTCCCTCCAACAATAACAACATTGCTGCCGGGCAGCAACAACAGCCTACATATCAAACTGTGCAAAAACATCATCACAATCTACAGCAGCAACAACAACAGCAGCAGCAACAGCACCAACACCATTCCCAGTCCCAATATTCGGGACCCATTGCCGGTCCTCAGCACACGACGGCCACAGCATCAAAGGTGTGACTATAGGCAAACGTTCTTCGCCAGTGTCTGGGCGAAGACGTTGTTGTTCGTGGAATTAGCAGCAAAACGAAAATTACTACTTCAACCAAAACAAAAGTTAAAATTCCTTGTACGACTACTAGTGATTCATCATCAGCGGCGGCGGCAGCTGATCCGGTGGACTCGAAGCAACTTAGGACTGGCAATCGTGGCCCCAACGATGATGATGATAATGACGACGAAGATGATGATATTGTGGAAATTTTCTACTTTGCCACTGAATGTTGAACGAACGATGACAATTAGTTTTTTAAATGTAGGTGTAAACGAACCCAAAGGGATTGAATATTCAAAAAAATATAAAAACAAAATGAAGCCTTGATTTGGTTGATGATGTGTGTGAGTAAAGTTCGCTAAGTGGTAAGAATGTTTTATAAATATATATATATTTTCCAATACATACATAAATATATTCTTCTTCTAGAATGCTATAGAATTTGATTGGTGTCGGGATCAGGGATGAAATAAAATTATTTTAATGTTTGTAAAACTTTTCAGAAAGATGAGAGGGTTACCTTTTGATCCCGACACCAATCAGACTCCATAACAGCCTCCTTCAAAAAAAAAACTAATTATAAATAAAACCAAATTCTAATATATCAATATTAATTATTTTCTTATATAATTATTGTTAAATAAATTTTGTTGTAATTTTTTCTTGACTATAAATTAAAAAAAAACAAAGCTCACACACATACACATAAATGCGAATTATAAGCAAATATAATTATAGTATAAACACAAGTGCAAAGTTTTTTGAAAATCTTAAATTTTCAAAAAAGTAAAAATGAAAAACAAAAATCCTCTACTCTATATATATTGTTAAATAAAAAAATTATTTACTTATATAAATAATTATTAATAAACAACAAAACAATCGACAAACTTAACGAACATTTTTATATTGAAAAAAAAAATATTGAACTATGAGAATGAAAAACAAAGAAAGAAAGACTGTTATTAATTTAAGAAGAAAATATATTTTGTTGAAAAGGAAGGCATTTTGTGTCGTGGAAAATTGATTAAATTAAAAAAAGTTTGCTGTATAGAATAAATTAAAGAAAAAGTTTTAGTTTTAAAATGTGAAATTGGCTACCATTTACATTTTTGAAAGAAATAGCCTTGATTGAAAAATAGCCTGGAACTCAATTCCTGTTTTATGAAAATGTAATGTGAAAATTTTTAAAAGGAAAATTGAATGTTATGGAAAAATTATATGAAGGAAATATTTTTTACTTTATATTTGCATGGAACAAGAATTCCAGCCCCTGGTATTTATCTACATTTCGGCAAGGATATGAAAACTTAATCCAAATGGATTTGAGAAAGCGAAGCAATTTAAGAACTGTTCGCGTCCATTGACCCCAATTTCTTTCCTCTTCTTTCTTTCAATGAGATTTTATGACCAACTTTTTCACAATTGTTTCTTTGGGTTTGGTTGTTTTAGAATTTTTACACATGTTAGAGGTATTAGAATTGGAATTTAAACTTGTATTGCCAATTTTCTATAATTAACAATTTTTCTAAATTTTATAACTTTGTCGATGATAGTGGAACAACAATTCAGGGTACAATAAGAAGGCAGAACACCTTCGTAAAACTACAGAAATACAGCCCTGTATGGTTATTACCATTATTACCGCGCCCTGCAATGTACGTTTCTTCCAATCATTGATTTTGAAAATATTTTGTATTTGTTTTGCAAAACAATAAATACATACACAAAATTGGCAGAAGTCGGACACACTTAGAAAAAAATTGAAATCAGCTGGTAGCTCTACCTTACCTTTTTATTGTACCATGCTACAATTTAATTAATATTAATTTACAGTGAATAAAGTCCCATTTTATAGTTCTTCTGAGTTTTTACGACTATACCTCGGAAACCTATTCGAATTTTGTTTTACTATCTTTGGCAAAGTTGTCGCTCAAGACTAGGAGAAAATAATGATGGTCTTTATATCCACTCAAGATATGTTAAAGACCTTAAATTCATAGATTTGGTATAGAAGATCGGAAAAATTTAAAGAAAGTGGAGGTGAATGGTATGATTTTGATATTGATAAGGAATTTTTAAAGTTTCAGGAGAAGACATTCTAAAGGAAGATCTCGAATGAACAGTTTATGTGTTAAAGGCCTTCAAGCTTCAAAGCACCTACAAATAGAATAACGTGGGACACTTTGACTTGTGGGAAATTGGTAACTGATATTTTTGTATTGTTTATCGTGGCCGTGGAAATATTGATATTTTTTAATTTTTATATTGAGATTAATTTCAAACCAATTGTTTAGCACCAACCACTTTTTCAAAGGTTTTGTTTTTCAATTTTTTTTTCTGAAACGTTCCTACTATTATTTAAATCAAAGCGCAATAAGAATAATAATATTAATTGGTTTCAAATGTTAAAATTCAAAATGTCAACAGAACTTTCCAGTTAAATCATGTCTTCGTATAAATCTATTCATCCAAAATCTATTCTCCAAAAGACCAATACCTTTGACTAGTATTTTATTTTTATACCCATGTCAATCTGTATTCAATTTTCACTTGGAAAATTAAAAAATTATATATTTCATTAGGATACCAAGCTTATTGAAAATGTCAAAATATTTATACAGTTTTTTCTTTTTTTTGAATTTTTCGAATGCATTCAAGAGTTTTTTTAAATAAAGATTTCAAAAAGTTTTTTTCAAAACCTTTTTTCTAGACAGGAAAAATATTCATTTTTTCAAGTGAATAATCTATTCCTTTGTATTGAGTTGTTCTTGGAAGATTAAAGAAAAATATTTCATTAAAAGTTTTTTAATACCCCTTTAGATACCAAAATTGCTTCAATAAATTTTCTGAGATATTTTTTTAAGATTGACTTTGTTCTAACAATTTTTTTCATTTTTTCCATTTCGAATTTGTTAACGCATCCATGGGAAACCTATTTTAATTACTTTTGTTTCCAGAATTTTCAATATTTTGTTAAAATATAAAAAAATATACATTTATATAAAAACCACATGTTTATACAAATAATATGTTTTTTATATAAAATATAATTTTAAGAAAATGCTGAAAATATTGAAGTCAATTTTGAAAATTCTAAAAACATTGCTCTAACAAAGGCTTTCCTATTCAAAATATAAAATTGATGAAAATTAAATAAAAAATATAATTCATGCAAATTACGAATCGGGTTTCTTTAGAATTCCAAAACTGATATCTGAATTTATTTTTGAAAATCTAACATTTTTCCACTTTCTTTAAAAAACAAAATATATTTTCTTGTTAAATTAATAATTTGAAAAAATATATATATAAACTATTTTTGCTGAAAAGTATTAGGAATGGAAAAAAATATTAAAATGAAAAAAATATATATATTTAAAAATTCATTTGAAAAAAGATATTTAAAATGGTTTTAAAAAAAAAAAAAAAAACTTTTATAACCATTTTTACAAAAATTACAGTCTGTTTTAGTAAATTTTGAATTGAATGAAAATAAAAAAGGAATACCAAGACCTAAAATGGTAAAGACTAGACAAAATGCAAATGGTTTGTGTCTACAATACATAGAGCAACAGCTCATGGCCAAGACATGTTGATATAAAAATCACAATTGCAGAAACGAATAATAAATAAAAATTTTAAAAAATCAAAATTAGAAGTGTAAAGATGGGACAAGGCAGAGTCAAAATGTGGCAACCCTGTGAAATTACCTCTGTCGTTATGATGTCATAACAACATAGTTGCCAATGTTAACTGATTTAAACCGCTACGGCAATATGCACATTTTTGGAAAGGTCTATGGAATACAACCTTGAAACAAAAATTTTGAATTTTTTAAATTTTTATTATTCGTTTCTGTAATTGTGGTTTTTATATTAATATGTCTTTGCCATTAGCTGTTGCTCTATGTATTGTAGACACAAACCATTTGCTCAAAATGCATTTTGTCTAGTCTTTACCATTTTAGGTCTTTGTTTTTTATGTGAAAAGAGTTTTGGTAATAGCTCAATTAATTTCCGTCCTCTTGAACTTTACAAGACGAGGCAGTAAATTTTGTTTCCAATAGATTTTATTGTTTTGATATTCACACTCACACAATACAAGTATATTTTTGCAAACCACACTGAAAAATATTGAATTTTTTTAGCTAAAAATATATATATTAAAATATCTACAAAAAACAAATAAAACTGAAAAACTGTGATTATAAATTACTGAGAGAAAAAAAAAAACAGCAAAACAGTTTGTGTAAAAAAAAAAAAACAAATACAAAACAAATAATAAATAACGAAAAAAATAGAATTACAAAACCGAATGCAATTGCTACATTCCAAATCTGTTATATTCCATAAGTAAAATATATATATATAAAAATCTTAATATATATGAATACGATTATACACTTAACCTTATACTATTATTATAATATTTAGTAATTATAATTACACAATTTCTACGAATATAAATTTAAGTTTATTAATAAATGAAAAAAGAAATTAAAAACATAATTAACGAAATCGATGAAATAATTTTATAAGAATATGATTTTTTCATGCTTTAAACCTTTTCTTTAAGATTTATATTAGGTTTGTAAATTCCACAATCATGTTTTTTTTTTTTGTAATTTCCAAACTATAACAATAAAGAAACTTAAATTGAAAAGAAAAAAAAACAGCAACAATTGAAATTATTAAAGCAGCAATATTTACTGCTAATAGTTTTTATTTTACCTTCAATATATAACACTTATATTAATTAATATTATGAAATTTATATTAAATTTATAACAAAAATCGCTATTTGTAACTGTTTCTAATTTTTTGTTTATTTCTTTGTTTCCACATTTTTTTGTTTGTTTATAATTCCTTTTATGTTTTTTTTTTTTTTTTGTAAATAATTTCCCTGTCTTCTAACAATTATTGTCTTCTGAAACAATTCATGTTTTGTCATAATATTTAATACATTTTTAATTATTTTTTTTTTTACATCATTTTTGTCATTATTGAAATTTTGTATAATTTAATTTTGTCTTAGTATTAATTCTAGTTTTAATTTTTTTGTCCCGTATTATCGTCAATAACTTAGTGGACTAAGTGCGATTTTGTGTTGAAACTACAAAACGAATAATAATAATTATTAATTTTTCCATGAATTAATTTAAGAACGAATTGAAAAATATATTTAAAAAAGAAATATTTTTAAAAATATATATTAATTTTTGTTTTATTTTTTCAATGGGAGACACGACCTATAAAGAAATCCAAGTTCTATTTTTGAGTTTTTGAAAAAAAGGAAATTGGCAATAATTTTTACGACTGGGGTAAGTCTAGGTCTGGAAAAAGCAGAGGGGTTTCCAATAAGAACTCTCAGGAATTTAATGTAGTAAAAATAGCCCATTCATTTTTTAAAAATTCGGGAAAAAGTTCGTAAAATGAAAAATGAAAGAACGAAGAAGACTTCTCTACTCTGCCCTTATGGTCTGTAGCAATAGACCTTCTCGACTAAATTGGGTAGGTTTGACAGGACAAAAAAAAACAGATGCAGCGTATCGCACGCTGAGTAGACGTTCCGCAAATCTTCTTCAATTCGTGCCCAATAGGCACGAACTTTGTTGGGCCAAAACTACACTGTTTTGCCTAGTCAGCCGACGTTTTTCAGCTGCAATGGATGGGGGTGGGCTCCCCTGATTGCATTCATAACGTAATGGTTAACTCCATCAGCGAATATTATTCAGACCCGCTTGATAGGTTTTATGAGGACCTTTCTTATATTGTTGGAACTCTCTCTTCTCTCCCTCATCCTGGTTAGGTACTGCAACAAACGCATATTATTATGCTGACGTAAAGGAAGGACCTTCGTCTTTTCATATAAATGGTACATAGGAGTCATGACGAGGCACCCTGCTGCAGTTCTTAGGTCGGCATTCTGACAGGTCTGAATACTTTTCCCTTGCATTGCTCTCATATTCGCAGATCACACTAAAAAATATATATTTAAAAATCCCCGGCTTATTTGTCTGTTAGATCTTGAAAAAATATTCTTTAAAAAATCCAAGCTTCCTTGGTCTGTTGGTTTAAAATCCACGTTTATTGGTCTGTTGGTCTTTGAAAAAATATTTTTTAAAAATCCACGTTTCTTTGGTCTGTTGGTCCTTGAAAAAAATATTTTTTTAAAAATCCACGTTTCTTTGGTCTGTTGGTCTTTGAAAAAATATTTTTAAAAAATCCACGTTTCTATGGTCTGTTGGTCCTTGAAAAAAATATTTTTTAAAAATCCACGTTGCTTTGGTCTGTTGGTCTTTGAAAAAATCTTCTTTAAAGTCTGTTCGTTGGTCTGTTGATAACTGAAAAAAATATTCTTTAAAAATCCACGAATCTTTGGTCTGTAAGTCCTTGAAAAAAATTCTTTAAAAATCCCAGGCATATTGGTCTGTTAGTCCTTGGAAAATTTACTTTAAATATCCAAATTTCTTTGGTGCGTTGGTGCTGGAAAAAATACCCTTAAAAATCTGTGTCTTAAGCTTCTGTCGATCCTTGAAAATTATCATATAAAAGCCCACATTTCGTTGGTCCTTGGGAAAATCACCACAATTACTGCTCTGTTGGTCCTTAAAAGGTAGTCTTAAAAAATCCACGATTATAGCACTGTTGCCTTAAAAAATATTCATAAATCTTCATTATTTGTCCTTCAGAAAATATTCTTAAAGATCCATGTTTTTGCTGTAACAGTCCCCCAAATAATGGGCAATAAAATAATAATTAAACTCCACATTTTAATACATTATCGCCATACATTTCAAGAGGATCTTTATATCTTCCATTTGACATTTTATTTGGCATTCTATCACATAAACTTACAAAAATATAACCTAAATAAGCGAAATATAAAATGTGACTCTTATTTCTATATTGGCGCCTAAAAGTATGCTTTACATTTTAAGCCCAGTGTTAAGGAGGGGAAATAATAGACTCATCTTTTAAATAGACCATAACTTGCTTATTCGACATGATAGAAATACAATTTAAGTGTCATATGAAAGCTCAGCGAGTATTCTACCCGGAATTTTAAATTTCGACCACGTGGCTATGAGTAGTTTGCTTTTATTAGAGCATTTTTATTTAGGGTTTAATCCATTTGTTTTTTGTCTTTGAAATAAACAACTTTGACTTTTTTGGTTATATATACGACTAACATTTAAAAATCTTAATAGTTATTCACAAATAATAAAATAATAATATACTATTATTTACTTGGATTCGGGACAACATATCTACCAAAAAAGAGCTGAATTTACTATGTTAGTTAATTTATATTTTATTTCTTTAAAACATATTGCACTTCTCGAAAAAAGTATCACAAAAAAAATTATAATTTAAACTATAATTAAATCACAGCTACATGCAAAACAATAAATATCAATTTTCTGCCAACGCTTTTAATGAGACATTTAAAAAAAAATATCCGATTTCGTCGAATGTTGTATTATTTCCGCAAACTTTTCTGAAGAAAAAAGGGTCTATTATTGAAAGTATCCTTGTTTTCATTTCCAACGATTTCCACCCATCGACTTGGAATTTTTATTCTGTTGACTATTTTGAGCCTCCTCTTGGGCGGCCAGCTCCTCATCGATCAACAATTCAAAATTGCCCAAGGCATCGGCACTGGGTATTTTGTTCCAACGGACACTATATGAACAAATGATTAAAAAATGAAATTAAATATAAAAAATTTAAGATCTCATTTTACGAACTTACTCCGGCACCCCATCTGGTGGCAGCACCACCGACAATATATTATCAATTAATTTATATTTTAAAATTCGATCGGTCACTGTCGTTGAGGTCAACGATGGTGATGCATTTACCTCCACCAGCCAGGGTTTTAAATTATTATCAATAATTATATCATAACCGTAGCATTCGAAGCAATGTCGATCACTGGCCATGACAGGAGCCACAGCCCTAAGAGAATGTACAATGAGCCATGATATGGCACCAAATAGACGATCCGTGACCTCTTTGCCTCGCGTCCCCTCCAGATAAAGGGCTAGATTTTGCACCGACCACTTGCCGCCGTGTAGGGAATTGTATTCGCCCTGTTGGGAAACGAAAAAAAATGAAATTACAATTTTTTAATTATGAGAAAATGTTGATTATTTTCAAAAAAAAAAAAACTGACATTTAAATAAATTCAATATTTATTGGAAATTATAAAAAAAGATGTAAAAACTCTGCAATAGATCTATAAAACTCTTTTTTAAAAAGGCGTTGAAGTCTTGACAATACTTGGAAAAAATCACTGATAGTCTTTGGAAAAATCTTGTTAAAAACTCCAGACGCATTGCTCTGAAAGTCCCTGAAGAAAATTATGTGAAAAATTTCCTCATAGTCCTTTAAATTTTTTGGTGAAAAATGCTTCATAATTCTTAAAATCATTTCAGAACCTGATAGTCCTTAAAATACTCTTGTTAAATAATCCACTCTTATAGGTCTGATAGTTCTCTTCTGAAAAAGTTCCTGATAGTCGTTTAAAATATTTGAAAAAAGCATAGATAGCCCTTGGAAAAATTATGTTACAAAATCTCCGCTTATAGCTCTTACAAAATCCTATGCTTATAGCTCTCATGGTCTTCGGCAAAAAATCTCCTACAGATGCCTCCACAAGTCCTTGTTAACAGTCCCTGGTAGTCTTTGAAAACAATCTTGTGAAATATCCCACGAACATTCAAACTTTCCTGAATAAATATTCTGAGCATATCGCTAATAGTCCTAAAAAATATTTTTCGAAATCCAAGATTTTAATGCCATTGAAAAAATATTATTTTAAAATCCTAAAAAATAGTCCTACGGGTTCATGAAAAAATGTTCTTTGAGAATCTATTTTTAAAGTCCTTTAAATTTTTATTTTATCTACGTTTATTGCTTCGGTAGATATTGAAAAATGTTTTTTTAATCCACTTTTATTGCTCTGGTAGTCCTTGGAAAAATATTCTTTAAAAATCCACGTTTGATCCTTGAAATCCACGTTTGATGCTTGAAACATAATATTTCTGGAAAATCCACGTTTGATCCTTGAAAAACATATTCCTAGAAAATCCATAAAATATTCTAAAAAAATTACATTTAGCCCTTGAAGAATTTCTTCCCAAAAATTTAGATTTAGTCCCTTAATAATTTCTACACAAAAATCCACATCTGGTCCTTAAAGAATTTCTTCATAAAAATCCACGGTTAGTCACCAAAAAATCTTTTTAAAAATCCACGTTTGATCCTCGAACTCATACTCATAAATAAATATGGTTTGGTCTTTGAAAAAAAAAATTATAAAAATCACGTTTGGTCCTTGAAATAAGCTTTTAAAAAGTTTGGAAAAATACGTGTTTGGTCCTTTAAAAATTCTTGTTAAAAATCATAGTCTGTGGTCCAGTTGGTCCTTGAAAAAATTCTTCTTATTTCAAAACTCCTTGTCTGTGGCTCTGTTTTCTTCAAAATAAACGTTTGGCCCTAAAAAAATTTTCTTAAAAAATCCACGTTTGTTCCTTAAAAAGAAACGATTGGTCCTTGAAAAATGTCTTCCTAAAATATCCAAGCCTGATCCTTAAAAATCTTAAAAAAAAATCTGTTAAAAAACTTATAAAACTTATAAACTTATAAAAAACGAAGTTTGATCCTTAAACAATTTTCTTTAAAAAATAGTAGATAGTCCTTCAAAAAAATCTTTCGAAAAATCCGAGCTGTGGTCCTGCTGGTCCTTGAAATGATCATCGTAAATATGAGTGAGTGGTCGCTAAAATTATTTTCTTAGAGACCCAAGTTTGACCTTTGAAAAAAAGCCTTATTTTGTCTGGCCCAAGCTTGATTTTAGTAAAAATCTTTTAAAAATCCAAGTTTTGTCCTTCGAAAAGTCTTCACGGTGGGTTATTAAAAAATCATCTTAAAAATCGAGGTTTAGCCCTTAAAAAGTCTTGTTGCTTTGGAAAAATATTTTCAAAAAATTCAATAAGTCCTTGTTAAAAACACAGTTGGTCCTTGAAAAAAATCTTTCAAGAATTCGCATTTGTGAGTGCATGGTCCTCAAAATAATTTTCATAGAGATACAAGTTTGATCCTTGAAAAAATCCCTAATTGGTCTTGAAAAATCTGAGCTTGATTTTAGTAAAAATCTTCTTAAAAATCCAAGTTTATCCTTAGAATAATCTTTACGGTCGATTATTAAAGGATATTTTTAAAAATTTAGGTTAAGTCCTCAAAAATCCACGTCTGTTACTTGGAAAATTTTTCTCAAAAAATTAAGCACGACCTTAAAAAGGTCCTTGTAAAAAACACATTTGGTCCTTAAATAAAATCTTTCAAAAAACCGAGTTTGTGGCTCTGGTCCTTGAAAAATATCTTCCTAAAATATCCAAGCCTGATCCTTAAAAATCTTAAAAAAATCTGGTAAAAAAACTTATAAAACTTATAAACTTATAAAAAAACGAAGTTTGATCCTGAAATAATTTTCTTTAAAAAATCTACGATTAGTCCTTCAAAAAAATCTTTCAAAAAAATCCGAGCTGTGGCCCTGCTGGTCCTTGAAATGATCATCGTAAAAATGAGTGAGTGGTCCCTAAAATTATTTTCTTAGAGACCCAAGTTTGACCTATGAAAAAAAACCTTATTTTGTCTGGCCCAAGCTTGATTTTAGTAAAAATCTTCTAAAAATCCAAGTTTTGTCCTTCGAAAAGTCTTCACGGTGGGTTATTAAAAAATCATCTTAAAAATCGAGGTTTAGCCCTTAAAAAGTCTTGTTGCTTTGGAAAAATATTTTCAAAAAATTCAATAAGTCCTTGTTAAAAACACAGTTGGTCCTTGAAAAAAATCTTTCAAGAATTCGCATTTGTGAGTGCATGGTCCTCAAAATAATTTTCATAGAGATACAAGTTTGATCCTTGAAAAAATCCCTAATTGGTCTTGAAAAATCTGAGCTTGATTTTAGTAAAAATCTTCTTAAAAATCCAAGTTTTATCCTTAGAATAATCTTTACGGTCGATTATTAAAGGATATTTTTAAAAATTTAGGTTAAGTCCTCAAAAATCCACGTCTGTTACTTGGAAAATTTTTCTCAAAAAATTAAGCACGACCTTTGAAAAGTCCTTGTTAAAATCACATTTGGTTCTTGGAAAAAAATCTTTCAAAAAATCCGAGTTTATGGCTCTGCTGTTCCTTGAAACGATCATCGTAATTTCTTAGAGACCCATGTTTGATCCTTGAAAAACTCCTTATTTGGTCTTGAAAAATCCATTCTTGATTTTTGTAAAAATGTCCTAGTTTGGTTTTAATCTTCGCTGTTGATTTTTAATGGATATTCTTAAAAATCGGGGTCCTTGAAATATCCATGTTTGTTGGCTCTATGGGTCCTTAAAAAACGCAAGTTTGGGGTTATGATGATCCTTAAAAAAAATTGTACTTAAAAATCCTTGCTTGTGGCAATGTGGGTCCTTGAGAAAGTCTCCTTAAAAAATGGCATTTGTGGTTTTGAGGGTCCTTGAAAAATGTCCCTCCAAAAAAATTAAAGTTTGGGGCCCTAGGAGTCCTTGGCAATTTTTCTTTAAAAGTCTCAAACTTACCCCATGTTTCTGGACACTGACATTGGTGAGATGGACATACATATTATCCAGCTCCGTCATGCTGGTATCATATTTCACCGTACAAAATCGGCAAAATCCCTGTTTGAAGAGATACGCCTTTAAAGGACGAAAAGAGGTGACCAAAACATATAACCTCAAATCGAATTTCTTGCCACCAATCAACAAAGGATTATCAATATAGCGGGATATGACATAACTCTCCTTGGCTATTTGCGGATGAAAGGCTCCTTTGGCTTCCCGTGACCATTTTTTCAATTTCGATAATTTGTTTATCAAAAATATTCCCGCCCCTTGCGATTTCCCACATGGCTTCATGATCCAGGTGCTTTGGGGATTTTTACGATACTCCTCCACAAACATATTGTAATCCGCCGGCAGGACAAAGGTAACGGGTATGAAATCCAGATACAGATATCTAGTACTGCAACCACCTCCGGACCAATTGACATCGGTTTTCTCCGCCAAGGGATTACCATCCCTTTCCAAATCCTTGCGATAGCGTTTGATATTCTTCACCAGCAGATCCTTGCGCGACAGTTCGTAATGATTCGGGAAATGATTGATCATTTGGTTGTCATTCATGCGATAGCCACTGTCCACCGAGAAAATGTTGCGACACGTCTGCACCCCCGCCCAATAGAAGTTCCAGTCATCATCGGCACTGACTTGACTCCAGCCACGTTTTTCGAAATTATTCACCAACACCGATTTGTCCAGATCCGTGCAGAAATAGACTTTCATCCGTTCGTGGGTCATGTTCTGATTCACTCTGTTTCGAAAAAGAAAATATTGAAATTTGTTGTGCAGAATTTCGTGTTCGATTTCCGTCTACCCACCTTCCATACATGTTGGAATAGCTGGCATTTGACCTTCTTATGGATTCTTGCGTCATAGCCCACAATGGTTCATGCAACAAAATTACCCGAGAATTGTGTGGCAAGGTGTGCCTCCTCTTCTTCTTCTACTTTTTCTTTTAAAATTCTTTTAATCGCTCGTTTTTTTTTTGTTCTTTGCTAATTTCTTTGTTAACTTTTGGTTGCTGATGACGTTGGAAAAAAGTTTAACTGCACAACTGGATTCTCTTGGCCGCAACAACCCTTCGCCTTGTTGGCTTCCTTCCGATTGTAACTTCTGGCATTTGTCGATGCAGTCCCCAAACAAATCTTTGTTTTTTTCTTCTGCTCCTTCGAACTTTGTTTGGTTTCATTTGTTGAATGTTCGTTGACGCGGCAACGCAACATTGATTTTGGTTACCCTGGAAATTTGATAAGGATTTGTTGGCTCCTGGTAAACATTTGGCGGGGGGATTTGGAGAAGAAAGAAAAAAATATTTTCTACAAATTTAAAAAAATATATATTTTTTTTTTTTTTTTTTTTTTGACAAAAAAAAAAAATAAAAAAGGAATAAAGAAATAGGTGTCAGGCATGGCCTATATAAGGTCGGTAGTCTTAATGTTAGACCTTATATAGAACTTGGCCTCAGTTTAAGTGAAATATTTTTTAACCCCAGCCATATGGCTATGGCGAAATAAAGATTTTATACCCCAAATCCACGTCTCCTTGGTCTGTTGGTCCTTGAAAAAAATATTCTTTAAAAATCCACGTCTCCTTGGTCTGTTGGTCCTTGAAAAAATATTCTTTAAAAATCCACGTCTCCTTGGTCTGTTGGTCCTTGAAAAAAATATTCTTTAAAAATCCACGTCTCCTTGGTCTGTTGGTCCTTGAAAAAAATATTCTTTAAAAATCCACGTCTCCTTGGTCTGTTGGTCCTTGAAAAAAATATTCTTTAAAAATCCACGTCTCCTTGGTCTGTTGGTCCTTGAAAAAAATATTCTTTAAAAATCCACGTCTCCTTGGTCTGTTGGTCCTTGAAAAAAATATTCTTTAAAAATCCACGTCTCCTTGGTCTGTTGGTCCTTGAAAAAAATATTCTTTAAAAATCCACGTCTCCTTGGTCTGTTGGTCCTTGAAAAAAATATTCTTTAAAAATCCACGTCTCCTTGGTCTGTTGGTCCTTGAAAAAAATATTCTTTAAAAATCCACGTCTCCTTGGTCTGTTGGTCCTTGAAAAAAATATTCTTTAAAAATCCACGTCTCCTTGGTCTGTTGGTCCTTGAAAAAAATATTCTTTAAAAATCCACGTCTCCTTGGTCTGTTGGTCCTTGAAAAAAATATTCTTTAAAAATCCACGTCTCCTTGGTCTGTTGGTCCTTGAAAAAAATATTCTTTAAAAATCCACGTCTCCTTGGTCTGTTGGTCCTTGAAAAAAATATTCTTTAAAAATCCACGTCTCCTTGGTCTGTTGGTCCTTGAAAAAAATATTCTTTAAAAATCCACGTCTCCTTGGTCTGTTGGTCCTTGAAAAAAATATTCTTTAAAAATCCACGTCTCCTTGGTCTGTTGGTCCTTGAAAAAAATATTCTTTAAAAATCAACGTCTCCTTGGTCTGTTGGTCCTTGAAAAAATATTCTTTAAAAATCCACGTCTCCTTGGTCTGTTGGTCCTTGAAAAAAATATTCTTTAAAAATCCACGTCTCCTTGGTCTGTTGGTCCTTGAAAAAAATATTCTTTAAAAATCCACGTCTCCTTGGTCTGTTGGTCCTTGAAAAAAATATTCTTTAAAAATCCACGTCTCCTTGGTCTGTTGGTCCTTGAAAAAATATTCTTTAAAAATCCACGTCTCCTTGGTCTGTTGGTCCTTGAAAAAAATATTCTTTAAAAATCCACGTCTCCTTGGTCTGTTGGTCCTTGAAAAAATATTCTTTAAAAATCCACGTCTCCTTGGTCTGTTGGTCCTTGAAAAAAATATTCTTTAAAAATCCACGTCTCCTTGGTCTGTTGGTCCTTGAAAAAATATTCTTTAAAAATCCACGTCTCCTTGGTCTGTTGGTCCTTGAAAAAAATATTCTTTAAAAATCCACGTCTCCTTGGTCTGTTGGTCCTTGAAAAAATATTCTTTAAAAATCCACGTCTCCTTGGTCTGTTGGTCCTTGAAAAAAATATTCTTTAAAAATCCACGTCTCCTTGGTCTGTTGGTCCTTGAAAAAATATTCTTTAAAAATCCACGTCTCCTTGGTCTGTTGGTCTTTGAAAAAAATATTCTTTAAAAATCCACGTCTCATTGGTCTGTTGGTCCCTGAAAAAAATATTCTTTAAAAATCCACGTCTCCTTGGTCTGTTGGTCCTTGAAAAAAATATTCTTTAAAAATCCCCGTCTCCTTGGTCTGTTGGTCCTTGAAAAAAATATTCTTTAAAAATCCAATTTTCTTTGATCAGTTGGTCCTTGAAAAAAATATTCTTTAAAAATCCACGTCTCCTTGGTCTGTTGGTCCTTGAAAAAAATATTCTTTAAAAATCCACGTCTCCTTGTTGGTCCTGTTGGTCCTTGAAAAAAATATTCTTTAAAAATCCACGGTATGTTGGTACTTGGAAAAAATATTCTTTAAAAATCCACGTCTCCTTGGTCTGTTCGTCCTTGAAAAAAATATTCTTTAAAAATCCACGTCTCCTTGGTCTGTTCGTCCTTGAAAAAAATATTCTTTAAAAATCCACGTCTCCTTGGTCTGTTCGTCCTTGAAAAAATATTCTTTAAAAATCCACGTCTCCTTGGTCTGTTCGTCCTTGAAAAAAATATTCTTTAAAAATCCACGTCTCCTTGGTCTGTTCGTCCTTGAAAAAATATTCTTTAAAAATCCACGTCTCCTTGGTCTGTTCGTCCTTGAAAAAAATATTCTTTAAAAATCCACGTCTCCTTGGTCTGTTCGTCCTTGAAAAAAATATTCTTTAAAAATCCACGTCTCCTTGGTCTGTTCGTCCTTGAAAAAAATATTCTTTAAAAATCCACGTCTCCTTGGTCTGTTCGTCCTTGAAAAAAATATTCTTTAAAAATCCACGTCTCCTTGGTCTGTTCGTCCTTGAAAAAATATTCTTTAAAAATCCACGTCTCCTTGGTCTGTTCGTCCTTGAAAAAATATTCTTTAAAAATCCACGTCTCCTTGGTCTGTTCGTCCTTGAAAAAAATATTCTTTAAAAATCCACGTCTCCTTGGTCTGTTGGTCCTTGAAAAAAATATTCTTTAAAAATCCACATCTCCTTGGTCTGTTGGTCCTTGAAAAAAATATTCTTTAAAAATCCACGTCTCCTTGGTCTGTTGGTCCTTGAAAAAAATATTCTTTAAAAATCCACGTCTCCTTGTTGGTCCTGTTGGTCCTTGAAAAAAATATTCTTTAAAAATCCACGTCTCCTTGGTCTGTTCGTCCTTGAAAAAAATATTCTTTAAAAATCCACGTCTCCATATTCTGTTGGTCCTTGAAAAAAATATTCTTTAAAAATCCACGTCTCCTTGGTCTGTTGGTCCTTGAAAAAAATATTCTTTAAAAATCCACGTCTCCTTGGTCTGTTGGTCCTTGAAAAAAATATTCGTTAAAAATCCACGTCTCCTTGTTGGTCCTGTTGGTCCTTGAAAAAAATATTCTTTAAAAATCCACGTCTCCTTGGTCTGTTCGTCCTTGAAAAAAATATTCTTTAAAAATCCACGTCTCCATATTCTGTTGGTCCTTGAAAAAAATATTCTTTAAAAATCCACGTCTCCTTGGTCTGTTGGTCCTTGAAAAAAATATTCTTTAAAAATCCAAGTCTCCTTGGTCTGTTGGTCCTTGAAAAAAATATTCTTTAAAAATCCACGTCTCCTTGTTGGTCCTGTTGGTCCTTGAAAAAAATATTCTTTAAAAATCCACGTCTCCTTGATCTGTTCGTCCTTGAAAAAAATATTCTTTAAAAATCCACGTCTCCATATTCTGTTGGTCCTTGAAAAAAATATTCTTTAAAATCCACGTCTCCTTGGTCTGTTGGTCCTTGAAAAAAATATTCTTTAAAAATCCACGTCTCCTTGGTCTGTTGGTCCTTGAAAAAAATATTCTTTAAAAATCCACGTCTCCTTGGTCTGTTCGTCCTTGAAAAAAATATTCTTTAAAAATCCACGTCTCCATATTCTGTTGGTCCTTGAAAAAAATATTCTTTAAAAATCCACGTCTCCTTGGTCTGTTGGTCCTTGAAAAAAATATTCTTTAAAAATCCACGTCTCCTTGGTCTGTTGGTCCTTGAAAAAAATATTCTTTAAAAATCCACGTCTCCTTGTTGGTCCTGTTGGTCCTTGAAAAAAATATTCTTTAAAAATCCACGTCTCCTTGGTCTGTTCGTCCTTGAAAAAAATATTCTTTAAAAATCCACGTCTCCATATTCTGTTGGTCCTTGAAAAAAATATTCTTTAAAAATCCACGTCTCCTTGGTCTGTTGGTCCTTGAAAAAAATATTCTTTAAAAATCCACGTCTCCATATTCTGTTGGTCCTTGAAAAAAATATTCTTTAAAAATCCACGTCTCCTTGGTCTGTTGGTCCTCGAAAAAAATATTCTTTAAAAAACCACCTACCCTGGGTCTGTTGGTCCTTGAAAAAATATTCTTTAAAAATCCAAGTTTCTTTAGTCTCTTAGTCCTTGAAAAAATATTCCTTAAAAATCCAGGTTTTTTTATTTGTCGTATTTTTTAAATTCTGAGTTCCACCGAGGGATATTTTCCACGAAACTTACAAATTTTCGAAATACATCAAAAAAACCGCTAAAAGCTTTCAAAAACTTGCACATTTTCAAAGTAAAGCTCCACACACTTGAAAGCTTTTGTGCCCAACAAAACAGATGATTGAGCAGCCAAACCTAAAGAGAATTTTAAAAATCTCATCGGCGATCGCTCAGTACATTTTCAATTGTGAATCCATAAACACCGGTCCCCCATAAAACCTAAATAAAGTTATGCAAACATAATTCTTTCAAATACGAAAAAAAATAAAAGTGCACTAAATTCCGGTAAAAATATTGGGGAACAACAACACAAAATGGATTTATTATTTCTGAGTAGGCGAATTTATTTGGGCACCGAGGAGGGCTTCATGCACGGCGGCATAATTGTCGATAGCGAGGGGATAATCAAAAAGATTTTACGCTCAGCCCAAGAAGTCAATTCGTATCTATATAATATCGAATCGGAGGCGGTGAGTATGTACGGCGATGGATGTGCGTTGTGATCGGAATTCTGTCGATGACGTAGGAAAACAAAAACATAAATAAAAATATTTATTTTCGGAAGGTATACGATTTTGAAAATATGGTCCTGATGCCGGGTCTCATTGATGTCAATGTTCATATAAATGAACCGGGTCGCAAGGATTGGGAAGGCTTCTTGAATGCCACCAAGGCGGCGGCAGCTGGTGGTTTTACCACCATTATTGATCGGCCGACGTAAGTATCTCTGTTTTGATCTACACTGAGCCCTCGATTTTTTTCTTAAGAAAAAAATGTCCAAATCTACACAGGGGCCTCGATTTTTTTTCTAAAGAAAAAAATGCCCCAGTCTACACGGAGGCCTCGTGATTTTTTTTCTATAGACAAAAAAATGCCCCAGCCTACACAGAGGCCTCGTGATTTTTTTCTATAGAAAAAAAAAATGCCACAGCCTACACTGAGGCCTCGTGATTTTTTTCTATAGAAAAAAATGCCCCAGTCTACACTGAGGCCTCGTGATTTTTTTCTATAGAAAAAAATGCCCCAGTCTACACAGAGGCCTCGTGATTTTTTTCTATAGAAAAAAATGCCCCAGTCTACACTGAGGCCTCGTGATTTTTTTCTATAGAAAAAATGCCCCAGTCTACACTGAGGCCTCGTGATTTTTTTTCTATAGAAAAAAAATGCCCCAGTCTACACTGAGGCCTCGTGATTTTTTTTCTATAGAAAAAAAATGCCCCAGTCTACACTGAGGCCTCGTGATTTTTTTTCTATAGAAAAAAAATGCCCCAGTCTACACTGAGGCCTCGTGATTTTTTTTCTATAGAAAAAAAATGCCCCAGTCTACACTGAGGCCTCGTGATTTTTTTTCTATAGAAAAAAAATGCCCCAGTCTACACTGAGGCCTCGTGATTTTTTTTCTATAGAAAAAAAATGCCCCAGTCTACACTGAGGCCTCGTGATTTTTTTCTATAGAAAAAAAATGCCCCAGTCTACACTGAGGCCTCGTGATTTTTTTCTATAGAAAAAAAATGCCCCAGTCTACACTGAGGCCTCGTGATTTTTTTCTATAGAAAAAAAATGCCCCAGTCTACACTGAGGCCTCGTGATTTTTTTCTATAGAAAAAAAATGCCCCAGTCTACACTGAGGCCTCGTGATTTTTTTCTATAGAAAAAAAATGCCCCAGTCTACACTGAGGCCTCGTGATTTTTTTCTATAGAAAAAAAATGCCCCAGTCTACACTGAGGCCTCGTGATTTTTTTCTATAGAAAAAAAATGCCCCAGTCTACACTGAGGCCTCGTGATTTTTTTCTATAGAAAAAAAATGCCCCAGTCTACACTGAGGCCTCGTGATTTTTTTCTATAGAAAAAAAATGCCCCAGTCTACACTGAGGCCTCGTGATTTTTTTCTATAGAAAAAAAATGCCCCAGTCTACACTGAGGCCTCGTGATTTTTTTCTATAGAAAAAAAATACCCCAGTCTACACTGAGGCCTCGTGATTTTTTTCTATAGAAAAAAAATGCCCCAGTCTACACTGAGGCCTCGTGATTTTTTCTATAGAAAAAAAATGCCCCAGTCTACACTGAGGCCTCGTGATTTTTTTCTATAGAAAAAAAATGCCCCAGTCTACACTGAGGCCTCGTGATTTTTTTCTATAGAAAAAAAATACCCCAGTCTACACTGAGGCCTCGTGATTTTTTTTCTATAGAAAAAAATGTGTCTCAGTCTACACTGAGGCCTCGTGATTTTTTTCTATAGAAAAAAATGCTCCAGTCTACACTGAGGCCTCGTGATTTTTTTCTATAGAAAAAAATGCTCCAGTCTACACTGAGGCCTCGTGATTTTTTTCTATAGAAAAAAATGCTCCAGTCTACACTGAGGCCTCGTGATTTTTTTCTATAAAAAAAAATGCCCCAGTCTACACTGAGGCCTCGTGATTTTTTTCTATAGAAAAAAATGCTCCAGTCCAACCTGAGGCCGCGATTTTTTTCTATAGAAAAAATGCCTAAATTTACACTGAGACTTCTGTTTCCTGATATTTTTTTAAAAACTTTATTCTTACCGATTTCAGCAACTCCATACCCCCCACCACCTCCATGGCGGCATTGAAGGCTAAATTGTGTACGGCCCGTGGAAAGCTCTATGTCGATGTTGGATTTTGGGGTGGCCTTAATACCAAAGATTGGTCGGATATGCCAGCCCTGATAGCTGGTGGGGTAATGGGCCTACAATGTACCCTGGTGGAGTCTCCGGAACCGGTGGGAAAAGAATATCCTCCCATAACAAAGGAACAATTGGAGACTGTACTGCAGAAGGTCGATGATGGAATTCTGATAGCAGTCCATGCCGAACAACCCCTTGACATTCCAATCAAAGCCAATGAGGAGGAACCCAAATGTTATGAATCATTTCTGAGGACAAGGCCAGCGGAGATGGAAGTAAAGGCTGTCAGGACAATTGCAGAATTGGCTCTAAAACACAAGAGGTGGGGTCTTGAAATTGGCAACGGAATTTATTCTAAAAAATTAATTTAATTTCCTTACAGGAAAAACTTCCACCTCCTGAATCTAAGTGCCAATGAGGTCCTACCCATTATCAAGGATTGCAAGAGCAAGGGCGCAAAACTCACTGCCGAAACTTGCCCTCATTATTTGAGTTTAGCTGCCGAGGATGTAGAAGACTGCCGCACGGAATTCAAGACTCATCCACCAATTAGAGCCCGTTCCAATCAAGCTCCGCTGTGGGAGGCGGTAAAATCAGGGGTGATAGATATTATTGCCTCAGATCATTCTCCTGCTACACCAGGACCAAAATGTCTCACCTATGGTAGAACTCGCGGGAATTTCCTAAATGCCTGGCCTGGTATATCGTCATTGCAACTGGGTAAGTTTTGGATAAGGATTCGGAATTCTCAACTAATTAGTATCTTTTTCTAGGTTTATCGGTCATGTGGACCCATTGTGAAAAACATGGCCTGGGCATGCAACATCTCTACAAGACAATGTGTGAAAATCCGGCAATACTTTGTGGCCTGGAAAATTCCAAAGGAAAAATTATTGAAGGTTATGATGCGGACTTTTGTATTTGGGATCCGGATGCAGAGTTTCATGTGAATGCGGATATGTTGTTTTCAACAAATAAGGTTAGATTTGGGCCAGGACTAAGCTCTTGGAGGGATCTGGGATTTTTAAAGAATATTTTTTCAAGGACCAAAGAAACGTGGATTTTTTAAAGAATATTTTTTCAAGGACCAAAGAAACGTGGATTTTTTAAAGAATATTTTTTCAAGGACCAAAGAAACGTGGATTTTTTAAAGAATATTTTTTCAAGGACCAAAGAAACGTGGATTTTTTAAAGAATATTTTTTCAAGGACCAAAGAAACGTGGATTTTTTAAAGAATATTTTTTCAAGGACCAAAGAAACGTGGATTTTTTAAAGAATATTTTTTCAAGGACCAAAGAAACGTGGATTTTTTAAAGAATATTTTTTCAAGGACCAAAGAAACGTGGATTTTTTAAAGAATATTTTTTCAAGGACCAAAGAAACGTGGATTTTTTAAAGAATATTTTTTCAAGGACCAAAGAAACGTGGATTTTTTAAAGAATATTTTTCAAGGACCAAAGAAACGTGGATTTTTTAAAGAATATTTTTTCAAGGACCAAAGAAACGTGGATTTTTTAAAGAATATTTTTTTCAAGGACCAATAGACCAAGGAAAAGTGTATATTTAAAGAATAATTTTTGAGGACGAACATTTTTTAAACTTTTATTTTTAAAATACATTTTAAAGAGGATCACTGATAGGTTTTCAGAAATACTTTCAATTAATCAATTAGATAAAGTTTATGGAGGGCCAATCGGGGGGGTTTAAAGGAATATCTTTTTGAAAAACGAATCGTAATTTTTTCAGTTGTCAAAATAATAACCGATTCCCATTTCTTTCAGGCCACACCTTATATGAATCAACGCCTCCGTGGAATGGTGCATGCTACTGTTGTTCGAGGTCTTCACGTCTATCAACAAAATGAGGGTTTTGGTCAACCACTTGGCAGAATAGTCCTGCGAAAAAATGTCAAGAAAGTTGTGAAATTTTCATGAGCACTAGGAAATAATTTGGAAATATTAGTTATAAGTAAATAATTTAAAATCACGGTGCTGAATGATTTTGTAAAATAAAATAAATTAATTAATTATAAAAAAAATACTAAAATTATTTTTTTTACCCTCAGCCATATGGCTAGAGAGGGTATACAGGGTGAGATAAAAAAAACTGCAACAAAAAGCCATAATTTCTAATTTTTTTAAATTTTATTGAATAAAAGCAAAAAAATGTCGGAAATAGCATCAAATTTTAGAATAAGTTTAGATTTGTTCGAATTGGTCACCTTTGACACGAATTATGGCCTTCAAAGGGCCAATGAAACCGTCACACGCTGCTCGAATGTTGCTCTGTGGTATTTTGGCCCATTCCCGCCGAAACGCCTCCTTGAGGTGTCGATACTTTGGTATTTTTAGTACCAACCTTCATATGGTTTCTTTATTTATAGTTAGAAACCTTACAGCAGTCTCCAATATTATGAGCTGGAATATTCTAAAAATCCTCTCTGTTTTTTACTTTACCTGGGATGCCTTTTTTTATTAACAAGAGGGTTTTTTTATTGTTTAAAATTCAATTAAAAAATAAATTCTTTATTCACTTGATTTGTTTTAAGTTTTTGTGGTTTCCAGTGGTTTTTTGTGGCAAATTCAAATTTTGTGATCGTGTTGTTGAAATACAATAATTAGTGTGATTTTTGTTGTATTTTTTGTGTAACAATTCATGTAAATTTTATGTATGATTTTTTGTGTAACAATTCATGTAAATTTTATGTATGATTTTTTGTGTTGAATTCATGTAAATTTTATGTATGATTTTTTGTGTAAAAATTATTATATTTTTGTAAATTTTGTAAATTTTGTATTGACTTGTGATCGTGTTGTATATTTGTTGATTAAGTAATTTTATGATGTTTGTTGTGTGTAGTATGAAAATGTTCTGAAATTATGTTTGTTAATTTAAATGTTCACTTTATTTTCTTTAATTTTCACTTGTCACTGGGGAGCACTTTTAACTTTCGCGGGCGCGATTTCAAAACGAACTGTGTCGATGCCTAATTTGCATCAGCTCAGCAACCAAATTTGCAAATCAATTTGTTGCTTATTTACTTCCAGTCAGTTGGAAGTTACCGGTGACTGCGTATTTGTATTGGTGCAACATATATTACATATATTTACAATTTTGCCGCAGTGGCCGTTAACTCCAACTGACAGTGGAGATCAAAAGTTTACGCATTCGTAAACATTTCTGGGCCCCCGAGTGACAAGTGTAAATCTTCAATTCCGCTTGCTCCATACAATTTTCAGCAGCAGGCATGTTCCGGATCGGTCCAGCGAACACATATCCCAGTTGTGTGTTGAACGCCCGTACATCCCCTAATCCAACCGCCACACACCCACTTTTGCGAATCGCGTTGTATGTATCCGCCCCTAATTCCACATCTATGGGCGTGTTCCCCCTAGGATCTGGGTCGGCGATGGCGTAATTAGTGAAGCCCCGGGTGGGGTCTTCCAACAGAGCCTCCGAATAAAGTCGCCTGGGTAGTTTGTCGCTCACCACCGCATTTACTTGCAGAGACCAGCTGCTGCTTATTCTTCTGGGTCGTATAGTGAATGTGGTTATGCGTTGCCCCTTATATATACGGTGCTGCAGCCCAAACCGCCTATATGCCGCATATGAAATGGTGGTCATTGTTGCCGACTGGCTCATCAGTGCCCGCACCATCACGAACCCTTCCATCCCTTCGGCCATTAATCTGATCATTACGGTGGGCACCAACACCAAATCCCATGCAAAGGCTGGTGCGTTTATAGCTTCCATATTCAGAGGCACCTCATCCAGCTGCGATGCCCCGTGCAGGGTCGTATGGTGCCTGCTGTCGCAACGTCTGCAGCCATCCAAACTGGGGCAATCGGGGGCAAGATGGCTCCTTGCCAGACAGTTCCGACAATAACCACGTCTTTCCACCGTCTCATACCTCTGAAACGGGGTCTGTCGCCGGAACACCGGGCAGGAGTAAAGGCTGTGGTCCTGTTGGCACAGTCCACAGGAGTACTGCCAGTTGCTGGGTCTCTCGCTTACAAGGCGTCTGTTGGGCCTTGCCTCACGTCTGCTCCTCGGTGGCTGGTTGGGACTGCGGGCTCTTCGATTAGGTTGTGGGGGTTGGCGGTTGGGGCTCCGGGCTGAGTTACTGGGGCTGCGGCTCCGGTCTTCCAGGCGCCAGTCTTGATTTGGTAGATAAGCAGCCATATCTGTAAAAAACAAGAAGCGAGTACTATGTTCTTTTAGGAGGAAATATCCGGCTAGTCAGTCGGAGAATAGTTTAACAATTTTGGTAATGGGTCTGCTTATATTGCCACCAGAAGTCCGTATATCCACTACCCGGGTATTTTGATCCGTGCCCTGATAAGATTTTTGAACGCGACCCAACTTCCACTCGTTTGGAGCGAGTCTGTCATCCTTAACCACTACTAAATCTCCCTCTTTAACGTTGTCTTTTTGGTATTTCCATTTGGTTCTTCGATGGAGTTCATGCAAATATTCTAACTTCCATCTGTTACAAAAATATTGGGAAATCACTCTGAGTCGTTTCCACCTATTTACTAAATTTATGTCTGTGTCTGAAACATCGGGCTCCGCTGGAGCAAGCATTGATGTCCCTATAAGAAAATGACCGGGAGTCAAGGGTGACAAATCATTAGGATCGTCGCTAGATGGACTTAATGGTCGCGAATTGAGACAAGCTTCTATTCGGGCTAAAATTGTTGTAAATTCCTCAAACGTGAAGTTCATTTTCGGTATACTTTTCTTTAAATGAAGTTTAAATGACTTAACTCCTGCTTCCCACAAGCCACCCATGTGCGGTGCACCAGGTGGGATGAATTTCCAACTAAGATTTTGGTAAAAATTGCTATCAATCGTACTTGTTTGAAGGCTTTTGATAAGCGCAATTCTATCTCTTTTTATTAAATCGACAGCTCCAACGAAATTGGTTCCATTGTCGGAATAAATACAAGACGGACACCCTCGGCGGCTAACGAATCTTGAAAACGCGGCAAGAAATGCGTGGGTTGAGAGGTCGCTTGTAGTCTCTAAATGTATTGCCTTGGTCGCAAAGCAGACAAAAAGACACACATAACCTTTTGTGATGAAACAAGCTCTTCCAGAATAACTTTTGATGTTGAAGGGTCCCGCAAAATCAACACCAGTATTTGTGAAGGGTCTGGACAGAAAAGTTCGTTCGGGTGGAAGTGATGCCATTATTTGTTCCTGCGTCCTTTTTTTATGTATAATGCATATTTTACAGTGACGAAGAATTTTCTTGACCAGCGACTTTAGTCCAAATATCCAGAATTCGGACCTTATTATTCGAGTCATCAACTGATTTCCGCCATGCAAAGTGAGTTTATGAACAAAGTCCACCAACAACTGGCTAAAGATTGCTCCATGTGGCAAAATTATAGGATGACGTTCATTGTATGTTAAGGCAGTAGATTGTACCAATCTTCCATTGGCTCTCACGATGCCTTTCGAATCTAAAAACGGATTTAAGGTCAAAAGTGGACTTGTTGATGAAATTCGAGTCTTTTTCCTCAATGCTTCATATTCGTTCATGTAGAAGAACCTTTGAGTCTGTATTATGCTTGCTCGTTTTCCATCTTGAATTTCGGCAGCTGTAAGCTCGTTTGACGTCATCCTAAGTTGTCTGTCTGATCCAGTGTTTTTCCTGAACCTCAAAGCATATGCGTATGAACGATAAACTTTGGCTAACGATGAGAAATTCTTTAAGGGGTCATCTTTTTCCTCAAGCAGCGTAAGAGTTTTGACTGCTTTTGCCTCTAAATTAGTATCGCTTTCAATTGTATTTGATGGCCAACGGTCCTTGGGCCATGTGAGCCAGTGAGGTCCATGCCACCAGAGTTGTAGATTATGCAATTCGAGAGGTGAACATCCTCGGCTGGCTATATCAGCTGGATTGTTTTCAGAGTCAATGTGCCTCCAGTTCTCTTGACCCACACCCTCAGAAATCTCCGAAACTCGGTTTCCTACAAATGTGCTCCAATGACAAGGTGGCTTTTTTAACCAAGCCAACACAATCGTGGAATCTGTCCAAAATTGGGTCGTATAGTGAGAAATTTGTAGATTATTCGTTATCGATACGGCCAGTTTGGACAACAGAACTGCGCCACATAATTCGAGTCTAGGAATAGAGAGCTTTTTGATCGGAGCTACCCGAGTCTTTGCAGCTAACAAGAATGTATGTGCGCTTTTGTCAGTATTTTCGACTCGAATGTATATGGCTGCTCCATATGCGTTTTCCGAAGCATCACAAAAGCCATGAATTTCCACCGTACTGTCTGCGGTGTATTGAATCCATCTTGGTACTTTAAGTTTTTCTATATTTTGGCTATTTTTCACGAAATTATTCCAGTTTATTTGGGTCAAAGGCTTCAACGTTTCATCCCAATCAATTTTGTCCAGCCAGATTTGCTGCATTATAAGTTTTGCTACAACCACCACTGGCGCCAGCCATCCACAAGGGTCAAACAATTTGGCTATTGTTGATAGGACTTCTCTTTTTGTATGTCTTTCTTGATTTTCCATTTGTGGTGGCGTAAAAGAGAAAAAATCTGCGGAAATATTCCATCGAATCCCCAATGTTTTTGTGGAAGCATCCTCAGAAATATCTAACCAATTCAGTGGCAGTAAATTTTCTTCCGGAATATCTTTGATTACATTGTGTTCATTTGAGGCCCATTTCATTAGAGTAAATCCAGCTGAGTCCAAAGCAGCTACTAATTCCTTTCTGGCCATGATTGATTCCTCCAATGTATGGCCCCCAGCCAGTACATCATCAACGTATAAATTATTCAATATTATATCCGCTGCTCTAGGGTGCGAATCTTTAACATCCTCTGCTAACTTAATGAGAGTTCTCAATGCCAAAAACGGCGCGCAATTTACTCCAAAGGTCACTGTTAGTAGTTCGTAATCCTCTATAGGGTCTGATGGTGATTTCCTGAATAAAATCCTTTGATATTTTGTTTGACTTGGGTCTAAAAGTATTTGCCGATACATCTTTGTAATGTCGGCGTTAAATGCGTATTTGAAAAATCTCCATTTTAAAATTTGTAGTACCAAGTCCTGTTGTAATATGGGTCCAGGAAATAGTATGTCGTTTAGACTTGTTTTATTCGATGAAGGGCATGAAGCGTTGAATACGACTCTTAACTTTGTTGTAATACGGTCTGGCTTTATAACTGCGTGATGTGGCAGGTAATAATTGGGCATATCGTTAATTTCATTTGGGTTAATTTTCCTCATGTGGCCAAGTTCGAGGTACTCGAGTATCGAATTGTCGTACTGTTCCTTGATATCTGCTGTTTTCATAAGTTTCCTTTCCATTCGATAGAATTGAGCTAAAGCAATATTTCTAGAAGTCCCCAATTCCTCGCATTTTTTAAATGGGAGAGTCACAACATATCTTCCATTTTTGTTCCGTATTGTTGTGTCAATGAAATTCGATTCGCAATATTGGTCTTCTTCTGACCGTAAAACTTTTTTAGGGGTCTCTTCCACCTCCCAAAAACGTGTAAGTATTTTCTCAATGGATGTTGTGTTTAACAATGCAATTTGTTTTCGTTGGCTAGCATTTCCAGGAATGGGTCCTCCTACAATCCATCCAAATTTTGTACTTTGAGTTAAAATTGATCCATAAGTTTTCATTGGAATCCCAAGCGTAAATATCAAAGGTCCTATATCCATACCGATGAGTAAATCAATTGGTCGACTAATGTAGAATTTCGGATCAGCAAGTTCCAATGATGTTAAATCTCTAAGTTGTGATTTGTGTAAGTTTTGTGGTGGTAGATTTGATGGTAAGTTCTTTAAAACTGGAGCCCAAACTTCCAGTTTAAAGCTAGGGTCGAATTTGGATCGTAAGGTAAACAGACAAGATTTCGTTGATGTCTCTGAAACGAATTGACTTAAGCCAGTAACATGAACTAAGCTGTTTCTTGTTGGCAACTTCAGAAGATTTTTAAGTTTTTCCGAAATAAATGTTGATTGTGATCCAGAGTCTATGAGCGCTCTTGCATCGTAAAGTTGTCCTCTGGTTTCTATCTGCACCATGGCTGTAAAGAGTAGTGTACCTCCAGATTGTTGCTGACTAATTGGCTTATCTTGAAGGGTCAAAGTTGTAACTGTAGCTGGTTCTAGGTTTGGTGTGGACTGTATTTCTGTTGTTTGAGCGGCGGCACTTGTTCTAGGTCTTGTCTCCACTCTAGCTAGGTATGTATTTGTAGATTGGGTTTCCGTTCCCTTATGTAACAAAGTATGATGTCTCATTGTGCAAGTTCGACATCCAAATCGACTTTTACAATCCTTTACACCATGGTGCGCTGACAAACAGTTATAGCATAAATGAGATGTTTTCACGATATGAATTCTATCATTTACATTTTTTCTTAAAAACTCCGTGCAATCTCTGACAAAATGATTAGCCTTGCACACTTGGCATTGTTGGGCATTTTGTGTATTGTTGTTTGGGCGGTTCTGTTGTTGATGCTGATTAGAATTTGGCCTTCCTCCCAAATTATTCGTATTCTTTGTGACATTTGTTTGAAATGTATTCGAAAATCTGGGTTTGTTGTAAGTGGGTTGTTTCTGTTGACAAAATTTCGAAGTCGTAGGCTTTATATTTCCAACAGATTCCATAGTTTTGAATTTGTTCGTTAAAAATGTGTCGAATTGTTCCCATTCTGGAAGTATTTTGCAGTTACTCAGTGATTTCTCGAATTCCTCTAGAAAATTTCTTGGTAATTTTGAAGAGCAAATGTATATTAGAAGAGGATCCCATCCTTTGACATCGACTTCTAGCAATTCCAATGTCTGTATACAGCTGTTGACAGTTCGTTGTAATTTTTGTATTGAATGACTTGAATCGCCAGAAACTGCAGGTAGATTAAAAAGTGTTTTTATCTCCTCATTTACTTGCATCCGTTTATTTTCATATCTATCAGTAAGATTTTTCCATGCAAGTTCAAATCCATCATTAGTCAATGGCACGTGAATAATAATTTCCTTTGCTTCCCCAGTGGTTTTTTGTTTCAAGTGAAATAGTTTTTCTACGTTGCTTAGCTTTGATCCTTTTATATAAATTGCCGTAAATAAGTCTCTAAACGTGGGCCATTCTCGATATCCTCCTTTAAAGGTGTCCGTATCGCATGGTGGTAAGCGAGATACGGGAGCAAAATCCAAATCCTTTTTCTGCTGTGTCTCCAATGACTCTCGTTTTGTTTGTTCCAACATCTGTTTTTCTCGAACATTCTGTAATTGAATGTTGACGGCACTTAAAGCCTTTTTATATGCGTCCATCGCCTCCATATAATTTTTCCTTAACTTGTTTTTATCAATAACCTTTTCTCCTTCTTTTGCTTCATGCTCTCTGCAATCGATATAAGCTCTCCTTACTTGACTCCAATTTGAATTCAATTCCAAACGTGTAGTTTCCAAAGTGTCCACAGTATCCTCTGGGTTGGTAATTGAAAAAATCGAAATAAAATCCAACAAGTCGTTGACGCTGTTAGCGAATTTGTCGCATAGTGATTTGTCCATCTTCTTAGTTGTGCGAGAAACCTTTCAAAAATTTGGTTTATTGTCCAAAATCCAAAAGAAGCCCAACGAGAAGGACTTACTCTGTTTAGAAATTCAACTTTTCTTCAACTTTTTGTGTTTCAAAAGCGAGAAAGTATCTTCCTTTATTTTGCAACGAATTACCTATTGGGTCAATATTTCCAAAAACTACCGAGAAAATTTGAAAAATAATAATTTTGGTGAACGCTTCGACTGTTATACAGTTTTTCAATCCAAAATCTGGAGAAATTAATTTTCCAAAATTCGTCCTTAAACGTATTTGAATATAGTTGGATGAGCGAAAGGTCAACTGAGAGAAGCTTTATCCGATTATAAAAGAGAAAAAATATTCCGCTTCAAGAAAAACGAATGAAGAAAAAAAAATATATATACAAAAAAATTCAGTGAAATTGTATAAAAAAAAATGAGTCAGAAAATTGTAGAGTGATTATTGGACAGCTCCGTCTATCCACCAAGTGAGATGTATGCCAAAGTAGGAAATGTTTGCTGGGTTGTCGTAAAATTCCGAAAAATCCAAATTCCAAAATTGCATATAATCTCTTACGATATCCTTTGTTAGGAAGCCTTTATGGCTTTTCCAATTTAAACTTTTCTCCAAAAGTAAGTTTCTTTAAAGTAGGGTCTGAATATTTCTCTGAAGTGACAAATATTCTAAGAGCGCTACGATGTTATTCAGCAACGAAATAAAAAATTTCGATGCACAAAAATATTTTTGGGTCAAAACCCCCAGATATTGTTTCCAAAAAGTTCCTCAAAAAGTAAAAAATTCCGAAAATATTCCAAAAAATTAATAATTTCTGGGTCAAAAAGCAGCCTTTTTCATCAAAAGAATTAAAAAGTTGCACAATTCCCAAAATTATTGCAAAAGATTTAGAATATTTTAGATCAAAGCAAGATAAAACAAAAAGGCTGAAAATTTTTAAAAATTAATTAAATTAATTAGAAAATATATGAAGATAATATTGTTGTTTAAATTCCGTCTGTCCACCAGACACTGATAAAAAATGTTTCAAAAATGTTAATTTTGTCTGTCCATCAGACTTCAACAATTGCGTAGAAAACTTTAATAAATCACAGAGGTTAGGATTTATTGCATAAGTCTATGTCACCAGACTTTGTTATTTAATTCGCTATGTATTTGCTTTTAAATATGGCGCTATGTAGTTGACGGCGTTATGTTTTTCCAATATGTATATGTGTAATTTGAGATATAAAGTTTATGTATTCGTAGTGACGCCAACTTTCCAAAAAATTTCCATATAGAAGACTGTATGTACAAATATGGCGAAGTTAAATGCCTGAACTCCACGTTCAGCTAATTTCCAAGAATAAAATGGCGTTTATATATTTGTAATGACGCCAAATTTCCAAAAAATTTCCACTTTTTTATATAGAAGCCGCAAACTATGTTTGTGTGAGTCTTTTATATTAATGTCCGTCCGACCAAAAGATCACAAATCTAATTTTTTGCCAATTTTTAGGTTAATATTCCCGAAAATTGCGCAAAAAATGTCAATGGGGCAAGCAGCAGATTCCAAAAAAGTGTCAAAGAAATTTGCTTATATGGCTCAGAACAAATATTAATGATCTGCCAGAGCCAAATATGCTTTTTTTGTCTTTAAAAATACGAAAACTTTCCACAAGTACTCACTTTGACGAATTTCTGGGTCTCTTCTTGGCCTTTTTTCGGGTCTCCCTCCTGGAATATGCTGGGTCTCCTTTCTGTTTTTTGTAAAAATGTTCTTTTTAATTGTTTGTCGGTATTTTGTAGTTTGTAGTTTTGTACCACTTTGCACTGTTCACTGTTTGTACGTATTTGTAATTTTCTGTAAAAAATGATAATTTTTATTTTTTTGTAATTTTAAATATATTTTGTATTTTTCCAATTGTGTTCCACTATGCAAGGTCCTTTTTTGCACCACTGTGAAACGACAATTCGGTTTGTAGGGTCACATTTAGCAATCACACTAATTTTTCCAGTTTTTTTTGTTTTTGTAATTTTTTCCACTTGGCACCACTGTTCTTCTTTTTTATATTTTTTGCCACGATTAAATTTTTTCCACAGTTAAATTTTTACCACTGTTCAATTTTATCCACTGTTCAATTTTTTTCCACTGTTCAATTTTTTCCACTGTTAAATTTTTTTTTTGTTTTATTTTTTTGAAATTTGTTATGCAAACATTTTTTTGTTACACTGTTAATGAACCCTTTGGTTCATTATTCTCTTTTGTTCCGCTTTGTATTTATTTGTTCAATTTTTTTTCACTAAGCGGTTCCTTTTATTTCTCTTTTCTTTCTTTTTTTTTCTTTGTACTTCTGTTACATATGTAACATATGTACTCACGGTTCTTTGTTGCTTGTTTCAAATCTTTTTAACTTCTTTTTTTTATATGTTCGATGAACTTTTTGTTTGTCACGCACTAATGTGTATATATGTAAACCGCATTTTTTTTTTTTTTTTCGTTTTTAGTTATTTAAAAAACTGCACTTTAATCCGGCGTTGAAGGATCAAATGTTTTTTACTTTACCTGGGATGCCTTTTTTTATTAACAAGAGGGTTTTTTTATTGTTTAAAATTCAATTAAAAAATAAATTCTTTATTCACTTGATTTGTTTTAAGTTTTTGTGGTTTCCAGTGGTTTTTTGTGGCAAATTCAAATTTTGTGATCGTGTTGTTGAAATACAATAATTAGTGTGATTTTTGTTGTATTTTTTGTGTAACAATTCATGTAAATTTTATGTATGATTTTTTGTGTAACAATTCATGTAAATTTTATGTATGATTTTTTGTGTTGAATTCATGTAAATTTTATGTATGATTTTTTGTGTAAAAATTATTATATTTTTGTAAATTTTGTAAATTTTGTATTGACTTGTGATCGTGTTGTATATTTGTTGATTAAGTAATTTTATGATGTTTGTTGTGTGTAGTATGAAAATGTTCTGAAATTATGTTTGTTAATTTAAATGTTCACTTTATTTTCTTTAATTTTCACTTGTCACTGGGGAGCACTTTTAACTTTCGCGGGCGCGATTTCAAAACGAACTGTGTCGATGCCTAATTTGCATCAGCTCAGCAACCAAATTTGCAAATCAATTTGTTGCTTATTTACTTCCAGTCAGTTGGAAGTTACCGGTGACTGCGTATTTGTATTGGTGCAACATATATTACATATATTTACAATTTTGCCGCAGTGGCCGTTAACTCCAACTGACAGTGGAGATCAAAAGTTTACGCATTCGTAAACACTCTCATTATTCACTCATTAGCGATTTTTCCTACTTATTTTTAAAATTCTAAAATATTACTCAAATATTAGAAATAAAAAATTTAAAATTGATTTATCGAAATTTTTCAACCTCCCAGTACCTCACTGCGTATACCTAACAATACCTTGATCATACACCTGGGATAACAACAAGAAAAGTGCGTTTTACATCAAACCATTAATTTCAATTTGAAAATCTCTCTCTCCAATTTTGTTTGCAACATTTTTTGCCTTTGACAATCAATTTGACGTTACACCTTTTGGGATATGTAACCAGAAACAGCACACATGTTGCCTGCGAACATGTCAACCCAAGGGATACCTTCGGTGAAATGAAAAGTGACAAAGACACTCGTTAGTGTCTGTGGTGTCATAACAACGCAGCGTGTAACAAGTGGCTGTAACAAACACGTGCGCTCCAAATGGAGAGAAGAGATAGAAATTTAAATGTATTTGCAGAATAAATACATTTACATTTTTAAGCGTTAGAGAATATTGGATATAAAGAATTTTAAGTTTTTAGAAATGACTTTTTAAAAAATATTAAAATTGAAGCGGGGATGGGAAATTGATGCCGGCAATGAAACCTTCCTTTAAGGACAATTATTATTATTATTATTATTATTATTATTATTATTATTATTATTATTATTATTATTATTATTATTATTATATTATTATTATTATTATTATTATTATTATTATTATTATTATTATTATTATTATTATTATTATTATTATTATTATTATTATTATTATTATTATTATTATTATTATTATTATTATTATTATTATTATTATTATTATTATTATTATTATTATTATTATTATTATTATTATTATATTATTATTATATTATTATTATTATTATTATTATATTATTATTATTATTATTATTATTATTATTATTATTATTATTATTATTAATATTAATATTATTATTATTATTATTATTATTATTATCACTATTATATATATTATAATTATAATTGTAATTATTATTATTACTATTATTATGCATCTCCATCTAGTTGCATTGTGTTTTAACCAATATGACGATTTTTGAAGGACCACCAATATTGGTTCTTTTGAAATAGAAATGTTGAAGGATCAATCGTAAAATACTAGGCATTTTAAAATGTTGATAAAAGGCCGTATCGTAAATCTTTAAAAATTTTTCCCAATCATTGATTTTTTTTAACTTTTGATGAATCTATTTTGGACTTTCGATTTAAATATTTTCAAAGGATCAATCGTGTATCTTTGGGAGAAAATTTTGAGACTCACTCGAGGTTTTTTTATATATATTTTGAAGGGCCAATCGTCAATTTGTTAAAATATTTTTGAATGACAAAACTTTGTTGTTCTTTTTCAAATTTCTTCAAAGAGCCAATAGTGGATTTTCAGATTTTTAAGCGTCGCCGAAGAATTTTTTTAATAATTTGTTTAAAGACCAATCGTGGATTTTTTTAATTGCGTTTAAAAGGCAAGTTGTATTGTACAATCTATTGTGGTTTTTTTTTAAATACATGGTGAGATAAAAATATCCCATTCGGCAAATATTAAAAACTGAGCTCGGGGAAAACCATTGAAATTCTAAAAAATGTAAGAACTTACACCGCAACAAATAGAAAATAGACTCAAAAGAGCTAAAGAGTTGCTTCGCTTGGCTGAAAGTGGTGAACTGCCGACTTTGGTTTTCTCCGATGAGAAAACATTCGTTGTCTAATCAAAATGATCACGTTTACTTGCCAAAGAGGTCAGCTGAAAATGTGCACCTACGGTTGGCCAACAGAACTCAAGCGCCGGCCATGGTGATGGTGTGGACCGCCATAACAGCCGATGGTCGCTCTCCGCTCGTATTAATCGACCGTGGCATCAGAATAAATGCAAAAATATTCTGGAGGGTGTATTAAAGCCATGGGCCATTGCGCATTCCAACAGGGCTCAGCACCATCGAATTCAGCACGCGCCACCCAGGAATGGTTACAAAATGAGGTTCCTCGCCCAAATATCCGGATACCAATCCGTTAAGCTATTATGTCTAGATTAAAAAAGTGTCGATCACCTCAATCAATTTTCAAATAAATAAAATCCGTTAAAAATGCTGTCGAAGTCTTAAAAATACCGAATGTAGCCGTTATAATAGGGTCTATACAGTGAATTATGTCGCTAAAATCATCAAAATACCAAATACAGAGAGGTACTTTTATATGGGGGCTATACCAAAACGTGGACCTGCACAGACAATTTTCTGTCATAGGCTGTAATATCCACTTCGAACTCCAAATACCAGATTTCAAACAATTCCGGTAAATGATGTCGCTAAAATCATCAAAATACCGAATATCGGGAGGTACCGTTATATGGGGGCTATACGAAGGCATGGACCTGCACAGACAATCTCCTGTCATATGCTGTAGTATCCACAACGAACATCAAATACGAAATTTGAAACAATTTCGGTGAATAATGTCGCTAAAATCATAAAAATACCGGAAAATGGGAGGTACTTTTATATGGGGGCTATACCAAAACATGGACCTACATGGCCCATTGTCAAAACCAAAAGTCCTGCAGACATAATATATATTTGAGTAAAATTTTATTAATCTACTTCATTTCGTTCGGAAGCTAAAGTCGTTAAATCGACATAGAATTTTATGCTGATCAAGAATATATATACTTCGTGGGGTCTAAAATGTATATTTCGGGGTGTTACAAACGGAGTCACAAACTTAATATACCCTCCATACTATGGTGGAGGGTACACAAACAGCAAATTCAAAATTCTTCAGGACCACGGAGCGTATGCTTGAAATAATATTAATTATACGCATCGTAGGTAAACACAAACATCATCAAAAATTAAACATTTACTGAGCAAAGGAGGCTCTGCTCATTTTCCTCTTATTCTCACTCAAAGTAAACGGGAATGCCAAAGCACTTCTTTTATATCTTCCCGACCTAACAGGTGTAGCCTATTTCAGAGTCTCGTAACTACAGATGAAGAGCAAAAAATGAACTCAAGTGATATCTACACACACGCACACTCATACATACACACATGACTTTTTTACTTCTTGGATTATCACAAATATTTGTTTAGCAGGTGCTAGCAACAAAATGACAACGAAGACGACTACAAGAACAGCAACGTCAATGTGGATGATGATGATGATAAAACAACAAAACGTAATGCCACGAAGAAAGTCAAGCACACAAAATACGTTAATACAAAAAAATATATCTCTCACTAAAACAACAACATATAAAATGTAAAACATCCAACACACACCCTCACAAAACAAAAAACAAATCTACATACCGACACTTGGCAGATATTTCAAAAAGTGGTTCATCCACAGAAAAAAAAAACGAAAAAAAAACTTGCTAAAATAACCCAAAGAATTCCCTCTTACACCAAAAAAAAAAAAAACAAACAAAAACATGTGAGCAAGGGAGATGAGAGCGAAAAAGAGTGAGAGCGGGAGGAGCAAATGAAATTTTGTTGGTAACACAATTATTTGCGTTACTCATTTGTCAGCAATACTACGTAATAAGCTTAAAAGCCAACGAAATAAAAGAAATGTTTTGTTGTTGAAGAAGACTAGAGGAGGAAGTGAAGGGTACAGGGTAGGCTTGCTGGCCGACTAGGTGGCTGACCAGTTGGTTTCACACAAACGCACACACATACACACACATCATTTATGCATGTGTAAATGTAAATGACCCAGTATAAATGGCAAAGAAAAAAACCAAACAAAGTTAATTTTGTGAAATGAATGAGAAAGTATTCTCATTTCTCTTTCTCTCTCTCGCTCCCTTCCTCTCTACCAATGGTCATCGATGTTTGTTTGTGTTAAAGTGGGGGTTCATTATTTATTTATTATTTGGAATAAGAAATACAAAATGTTGTTAATACTTCGAAAAAGAACAACAACAATTTATTCAAAGCAAACATTTTTTTATCTTTAAACGAAAATTAAAGGTTTAGGTAAAGAGGTTTATTTTCTAAAGAAAAAAAATCGAGGCCTATGTTAACGAGAATTTTTCGTATTGAAAAATGTGCTATTTTAATTTCCTGGTTTGGAAAAATATTTGGCATCAGGATCTTTTCCGGATGCCCTCCCTCTCTCCGGATTCTGTGTCGATTTTGGCCCATGAGTCCCCCGGAATTTTGCGTTTTTTATAATCAGTCCCTAAAGGTACAGTTTTTCTTAAATATTATTTTAGCTTCTGGATTGTTTTGATCGTTTCTGTCGTGGTTTATAAAAAATTTAAGTCGAGATTTTTTTTATTTTTTAAATTCTTTGACATCGTTAATTAATTGATATTGACCTGAGATCCCGCAATTCGTTCTCATTTAATATTTAATTTGGGTTTTGGAAGCTAGATATGTAAATCCACGATCCTATGTTTATAACCTCTGTCATATGGCTATAGATTTGATACGATCAAAACATGCCTCATCGAAATAACAGTTTTAGACCCTAGGTCTTTTTGTACCAAATCCGTTCCGGGACAATTGTAGTTGATGTAGGGGTGTCCGTTAGTCTGTCTGGTTGGCTGGATCGCCGATAACCCTCGAAGATCCAAACATGGCACATCATAATATTTTTATCGAACTTAGATTGAGTTCGGAGATGGACAATATCGGTCCACTCCATCTGGTACCTCCGCACAAGAGGTCAACATTTTCACAGAAAAAAATTTCCCTCGGAGAACAAGAAAGGATCATCCAATTTTGTCCAAACTGTGCAAATCCTAATATTTTTATACACTTCACCATTCGATGGAGGACATTCATGGACATTCATGGTAGACAATACAAAGTATATATATTCTGAATCAGCATAAAATTCGAAGACGATCTAGCGATGTCCGCCTGTCTGTCTGTTGCAATCACGCATTCTTTCGAACGAATTGAAATAGAAGGTTAAAACCAGTAGGCAGGTTAAGTTCGTCCACGTTTTTGGATAGCCCCCATATAACGGTACCTCCCGATATTCGGTATTTTCATGATTTTACCGACATAATTTACCGGAATCTTTCCAAATTTCGTATTGGAAGATCTTAATGGGTACTACAACATATGGCAAAAAATTTCGTACGCAGATCCACGTTTTCGTATATCCCCCACCTGACGATACCTCCCGATATTCGATATTTTCATGATTTTTGCTACATTATTCACCGGAATTGTAACAAATTTCGTATTTTAAGTTCGTAATGGGTACTGCAGCCTATGACAAAAAATTTCGTACGCAGATCCACGTTTTCGTATATTCCCCATATAACAACACCTCCCGATATTCGGTATTTTGATGATTTTAGCTACATTATCACCGGAACTATTTCAAATTTCGTATTTGAAGTCCGTAATAGGTACTACGTAAGCAGGTCCACGTCTTCGTATAGTTCCCATAAACGGTTTTCAAATAAGTTTTTCGGAATTCTTTTGAAAAATTCCAAGTACCTTCCAAATGGTGGAGGGTATTAAAAGTTCGGTCCTTCAAACGGCCAATAAAACCATGCTGCCCGAATGTTGCTCGGCGGTATTTTGGCCCATCCCCGGCGAAGCGCGTTCACTTTGGTATTTTTTAGTGCCACCCATGCTTTCCAAAATACTGCAGGCACAATAGACCAACGGATTGGTATCCGAAGATTTTGGTGGCCAATGTGCTCTGGAAATGAAGCGAGGAACCTCATTTTGTAACCATTCTTGGGTGGAGCGAGCTGAGTGCAATGTTGCTGAGTCCTGCTGGAATGTCCAAGGTCTACGGCCAAAATGTTTGAGTGCCCAGGGTTTTAATACACCCTCCAGAATATTTTTGCGATAATATTTGGCATTTATTCTGATGCCACGGTCGATTAATACGAGCGGAGAGCGACCATCGATTGTTATGGCGGCTTGAGTTCTATTCTGGTGGCCAACCGCAGGTGCACATTTTCAGCTGACCTCTTTGGCAAGGAAACACGATAATTTTGTTGGTTTTCAAACAGCTGGACAATGAATTTTTTCTCATCGGAGAAAACTAAATTCGGCAGTTCAGCACTTTCGGCCAAGCGAAACAACACTTTAGCTCTTTTGAGTCTATTTTCTTTCTGTTGCGGTGTAAGTTCTTGCCCTTATTGGAATTTCAATGGCTTTACCCCGAGCTGCGACATTTTCAGCTTTCAGCTGATGTTGCTGTTTTCTTCCGTCCACTTCCTTGACGTCGTGCTACGCTACCAGTATCACGGTTACGAGTGATGGTAAGAGACACAAAAGATTTATTCACATTTAAATGCTGGAGTGCTCTAACGATAGCCTAGCCACTTGTGGTTTTCCAGCCAAATATAAAGAAATCACACTATCACGCTTGAATTCCATCGCGAATAATTTTTTTCTGGAAAATTCTCACCAAAATCCTTTTGTACGCTTGTAAACAATATAATGAGCTGTCACTGGAATAATTTTAACAGCTGTCGGACGAGTGGCTTAGAAATGACAGCAGTCTGAAGTTGGTACAGTTGGTGCAGTTTTTCATCTCACCCTGTACTTCGGTCGACTATTTTCGATTTTTGAAAAATGGTCGATATGGCGAAACCTGGCACGTCGCAATATTTAAATCATTTATATTTAGGTCTGACAACCTGCTCCATAGAGGGCCAACAGTTTGGCTGAGGGTACACATCTGCCGGCAAAACCGACTTTTTAACTTATTAAAGAGTAAAATAGCGCGAAAGATAAATATATAAACAAAACTGACATAAATCGGGCACACATTAAGAAAAAAATTCTAATCACCTGGTAGCTCTACCTTACCTTTTTGTTGTACCATGTAGGTAACTGTCTTCACATGATTTGATAGAGCGTGTGAGAGGTGTATCAAAGTTCAACATTTCTGATCTAAGAAGAAGATACTCATCTTCCTCTCCCGCCTTTCCTTCCCTCCTTGCAGGTTACAATTCAAAAACTCAATTACTTTACACAAAACACTTGACGTGGCAAATACCTAAAAATAATAAACAAATGCACACAAACATGATGAAAACATTTTTCACCCAAACAATACCTAAATTCGCAAAAATGTAAATGTTCTACAGCTTTTCGATAACATTTCCATCAATTCAACAGATGCACACACACACATCTCTTTCAATAGCCAGTTTTTAATGCGAAAGGAAATTCTAAATTACAGAGAAGAAAATATACAATCGCCTAGGCCACCAATCATTAACACTGTGCAACAGAAGGACGCACACAGTCAGCATGCAACAATTATAAAATAATTTGTAGTTCGAGTTAATTATTTTTTTTTTTGCAAAATAAACTTTTAATATTTTTTTGTTGCTATTAGTTCGGTAGGAGAGACTGTGTGTGCGTGCACAAACCGCCATAGAATAAGTGCTTCGTTTTATCTTCTGTTGGATATTTTTCTTTGGTTTGTTATTGTTTTGCAAAAATATTAAAATCGAGAGAGGGAGAGATAGAGTATAACTGAGAGGGAGATGTTTCGTATGGATTTACAGTAGTGCTAACTTTACAAGACTCTTTAGAAATGTCACAACTAATTTTCATTGAAAAAACACAAAGATATCCAAAAAGGATTATATTATATTAAATATAATATTATATTATATATAGTATTATATAATATTATATTTCAAAAAAATCTTTATCCCAAGTATCCCATTTTCGCTTCATTGATTTCTCCTGCTAGAAGGAATCACAGAATTGAACAACCAATCACCTAATTGTAAACAAATTAACGCTAAATTGGCATTACTGTTCCCATCATCATCATCGTCGTCGTCACCGTCGACGTCGTTGTGTGTTGTAGTCATTGCTGAGAGCTTATCGCGAATGAAACGTTTTTGTTTTTTTTTTTCGTTATATGGGTACCACATACGTACGTATCTCGTCTACGTTATGCGATTGTTTCGTATTCTGTTGCTCATTTCGTGTAATAGATATGTATGGACTTGTATACAAACACAGGCACACACAGTCATATCTCAATGGATATATGGGTGATTTCATGGCAAACGTTTAAAGAATACTTGTTGGGAAAGGTGTCAGGTTATTTAGCGTTTACACAAGACAAATTATATTTAATCAGAGATGTATTTTATTCACTGTCTGCCATCTTTCGAAGATAGTAAGCGCTTATTATACCCTAAGCCATACGACCAGAGAGGGTATTTATCATCTGATACGGCCGTGCCTCATCGAAATAACGCTTTAAGACCCTAGATCTCTTTGGATCAAATCCATTTCAGGACATTTGGAGTCGATCTAGCTATGTCCGTCTGTCTGTCTATCTGCTGGCTGGTGCGCACCATAACTCTCGAAGGGAGTATCCTATTTGATCCAAACTTGGTGCATCGTAATATCATTATCAAACTTAGATCGATTTCGGAGATGGGCAATATCAGTCCACTCCACAGAATGTCGAAATTTAAAAAAAAAAAAATATTTTACTGCACAGAAAGAGAGATGATAATCCGATTAATATTTGCATTAGTGCTAGATCAGGTTCGAAAATGGAAAATATCAGACCACTCCATCAAGTACCTCCCCCACAAAGGGTCAATATTCTGAATAAATATAACTTTTACAAAATGTAATGTACATAGGTGTCCGATTGTTTTTAAATTGCACACATCCAAATATTTTTATTAACCTCAGGTCTAGTGTAAAGGTTGAATATATTGGTCCACACATTCTGGTACCTCACCTACAAAAGGTCGAAATTTTCAAAAAATATATTTTCTGAACAAAAAGAGAAACGATAATCCGATTTTGCTCCAAATTTCAAAATTAACAATATCGGTCCACTCCATCAAGTACTTTCCCCACAAAAGGTAGAAATTTTGAATAATTGCAAGTCTTATAAAATGTGATGTAAGAGTCCGATTGTTTTCAAATTTCATACATCCAAATATTTTTATTAACCTCAGGTCTAGTGTAAAGGTTGAATATATTGGTCCACACATTCTGGTACCTCCCCCACAAAAGGTAGAAATTTCCAAAAATATTTTTTCTGTACAGAAAGAGAAACGACAATCCGATTTTGCTCCAACTTTGCAAATCCCAATATTCGCGTCAGTGCTATTTCAGTTGCGAAAACGGACAATCGGTACCGTTATATGGGGGCTATACGAAGACGTAGACCTGCACCGACAATTTTCTTTCATAGGCTGTAGTATCCATAACAAATTTGAAACAATTCCGGTTAATAATGTCGCAAAAATCATCAAAATACCGAATACTGCGAGGTACCTTTATATGGGGGCTATACGAAGACGTGGACCTGCACAGACAACTTTTTGTCTTAGGCTGTAATATCCATTACGAACTTCAAATACAAAATTTGAAACAATTCCGGTGAATAATGTCGCTAATATCATCAAAATACCGAATATCGGGAGGTACCGTTACATGGGGGCTATACGAAGACGTGGACCTGCACAGACAATTTTTTGTCTTAGGCTGCAGTATCCATTTCAATACCAAATTCAAATACCAAATTTGAAAAAAATCGGTGAATAATGTCGCTAAAATCCTCAAAATACCGGATATCGGGAGGTACCTTTATATTGAGGCTATACGAAGACGTGGACCTGCATAGACAATTTTTTGTCTTGGGCTGTAGTATCCATTACGAACTTCAAATACGAAATTTGAAACAATTCCGGTGAATAATGTCGCTAAAATCCTTAATATACCGAATATCGGGAGGTACCGTTATATGGGAGCTATATCAAAACGTGGATCTACATGGCTCATTTTCAAGACCAAAAGTCCTGCTGACATAATATACATTTGAGTAAAATTTTATCAATCTACTTCATTTCGTTCGGAAGCTAGAGTGATTTCCACAGACGGATAGACGGACGGAAATCGCTAAATCGACATAGAATTTAATGCTGATAAAGAATATATATACTTTGTGGGGTCTAAAATGTATATTTTGAAGTGTTACAAACGGAATGACAAACTTAATATACCCTCCATACTATGGTGGAGGGTATAAAAAGTATATGGAGTAGCCCATATGCGAACCAATGCCACTTTTCGTACTTAACGAATAATACAAATCATTTATGTATGTATGTGAGTATGTGCATATGTTTGTCTAGTTATTCACACCACCAGAGGGCCGAATGACTACGTACCCTATATGTAATCGTAATCATCATCGTCGTACCGAGACACGATGATGGATGCCAAAAGGGGCGTAAGAGAGCCAACCAGGCAGCCAGCGAGAACTGGGTGTTATGCTTATGGGATGTGTGTGTTGTTGTTGTTGGCTTACTTTCATGCCAGCTTTTTGCCACTGCTCTGTGGCGGCGCTGCCGGCATCACAACGTTTCGTTTATTGTGGGGTCTGTCCGACGATAGACGTCGTTGTGTTGTCATCAAAATTTCAGTCTACTACGTAAAGTAGTCGCTGTGAGTAACGAACGCGCTTTTTTGCATATCAGCAAAGTAGAAAGAAACAGAAATAGCCATAATAATAAAAAAAATCAAAAAAAAAAAAATAATAATAAGAAACGGACGGGTTCGAGAAAAAAATATAAAAAAAATATTTGTGCACATAACGCGCCAATAAAACGAAAACGTTTTTCTTTCGCTAAGCAAAAAAGTTAAAACAATTTCATTTTAACCAAAAAAAATAGAGTTTTTTTATTTAAGCAAAATTGTGAGTTTTATGGTTTGTTATTGAAAATACCCAACTATACATATCGATTTATTTTTGTTCAATATGTGAAATTAAAAATAGTTTTTGTTTGCTACTACTGCCTATTATGAAAACGAAGGAAAAACAAAAACAAATTATCTATGAGTTTCTATTTCAAATTTAAAAATATAATTTTCTTTTTGAAAACAAAAATTCCATTCAAATGAAAAAAAGAGCACACAACACTGCCAAAAAAAACAACAAGAAAACCAAAAAAACAACAACTTAAACAATTGTATTATAAAGTAATCTTGACGTAATCGCCGCAAAAATATTTTAACGACGTCGCCAAAACGTCGTCGACAAAACGCGACAAACGATAAGCAAATTCAACCCAACATCATCACAACAACTGAATATCAAGAAGAAAAAAGAAACAGCAACAACAATATAAAAGCAATATCAACAACATTCATACGTATGGACGTGCTCTCTCCCCATAAAACCCCATCACAAAAATAATAATAACAGCAACAAAAACAGCAGCAACAGCTACGGCAACACTAATCACAACAAAGAGTGTGAGCAATCTAGTATGAAATGACGGTACATAAGTAGAAGAAATTACGTGGAGAGGAGAATTATTGAGTGAGTGCGAGAGTGTGTGTGAGTGAGTGTTGGCTGTATTTCATTTGTAGCAAAACATAGCAGATGATCAGCCAAGTGTGCTGTGTGTGGCTACAAAAGAAACGAACGAAACAAACACAAAACACCGATCTTTGAGCTGAATTCAATGCTGTCAATGTTGTGTTTGTGAAAAAAACGTTAATTGTAAAGAATGCGCTGTAAAATGATAAAATTAGTGATTTTTTTTGGAATAATCAGGGAAAAATATACAGGCATGTCACAGAATGTAAAATCGTTCAAGAGTGAAAACGAAAACGGTTTTAGCTTCTCTAAAAAACGGAAAACGCAAAAATTTTGCGTTTTGATATCACTTTCAAAAAGCAGGGTGAAATTGAAATGTTTAGTGATTTTAACGTAAAAAATAAACAGAAGACACATACATTTAACAGAAAATATTGTATTAACCAAATTCTCTTAGAATGAACATGTTTTTGGAATTTATTTTACAAAAAATCTATTATTTTTCTAATCCATGATGAAAACGCAAAAAAATATGCAGAAATGAACGGCAGACTTGTATAGTTGAATTATTGCCATATGTGTTGAAGAAGAATTCGGAAGACATTCTTAATTTGATCCAATGTGGACAAATTTCAGCTTCAATTGCATTAATAATTCTCCACATAATTGTAGAAACTGTACTTCTCCCAAGGCTTAGCTTCACATCTCTACCTATAACTCCTTGAAATGCACCCGTAGCCAAAAACCTAAGCTTTGTTGCAAGCTGGATAATAGCCGGTATATTGGAACGTTTGAGGTGGGGAGAAATTTTTTCCAAAACTAAAACAAAAGCTTCTTTATTTAGCCGATAATAAGTTATAAATCTGTAGAAATAAATTATTATTAAAATAAATTTGAAAATAACTCATTGCTGGTGGATCCTTACTCTGCATTTGAGTGAGATAAAGGATCTGATGCGTTCCTCAATGTCCGGCGACGAATTTTTTCAGTAGACCGCTGATTTATTTCTTCATCCATTACAGCAAGTATTGAAGCCCCTGGCATTTTTACTTTTGGTGTTTATATTATAAAAAACAATTTAAACTCCTTTTTTAATTGTCAATAAATTGTTTACGACATTTTTTTTCATGGAGTTACCATATTTTTATTTCAAAAATGTGAAATGATTTTTTTTTTCCGGATTAGTCAAAACGTACGAGTGCTGAAGAAGCAAAAGCAAATCGTAACGATTTGGAAAAGGTGAAATAAATCGATTTCGTAAAACTTCTGTGACATGCCTGATAATTTCACATCCTTTTGTGATGTGATAAGAGAAAGAAAATAAGTAGCAACTGCGTTAAGACCATCCGGTAACCGATTTTCCCTTTATGATATCGAAAAAAAACATAACGAAACTAATAGAATCTTGCAGGTTCTTGTACAGACCAATTGTTAATCAAATTATCTGTTAAAAAATTTGATCTGGCCTTTAAAATATCCACAATTGTGGATTATTACAAAGTCCCAACGCACTTTGAACCATGACAAAAAATCATTGAACATTTTCAATGTCTATCTAAATTTATGGTATGATCCACAACTGCAGGAATATTAAAATATTTATAATACGGTAACCCAATTATCCTTCATGATATTAAAAAAAATTGCAAAACAAGTAGATTTTTACAGGTTTTGGAACAGACCATTAAATTTAAATTTAGAGCTTTTTGGGTGGTATAAAGTTTTGCGTTTTAGGATGAGAAAACAGAAGAAAATAATTGACCGGCACAAAACAATTTTTTTCAGGAATGATTTATATCTTTTGAGAACATGAAACACGAAATATGAACCTATTTAGTTACAAAATGCGTGTGAAATTTACAAAACCCTCATGTTCTGTCCCAGAACTGAAAATGTGTTAAAGTTTTTACTAACCATTTTTTTCTTTATGATTTTGAAAAAAAGGGTAAACTAGTAGATTCTCTCAGTTTCTGGAACAGACTATTAAATTCGGTTTTGTCAATTTTGGCTGGAATCGTGGTGCAATTACCAAAGTAATCTCATGCTATCATACGATTACAATGTTTATATCCTCCACCATAGAATATTAAGTTTGCAACACCTCGAAATATACATTTTAGAACCTACAAAGTATATATATCTTTGATCAGCATAAAATCAGCATAACTCTATCTATTCTCCTCCGAACGAATTGAAGTAGGTTGACAATATTTTACTCAAATGTGTGTTTGGTCTTCAGGACTTTTGATATTGAAAATGGGCTATATAGGTCCACGTTTGGGTATAGCCCCCATATGACTGTAAATCCCTAAATTCGTAATTTTAATGATTTTGGCGACATTGTTCACCGGATTTATTAAAAATTTCGTAATAAAAGTAAGTAATGGATACTACAGCCTTTGACAGAAAATTAGTTATGCAGGCCCAGGTCTTCATATAGCTCGCATATAACGGTATCTCTCAATATTTGGTATTTTTGAAGATTTTAGCTAAATTATTAACCGGAACTGTTTCAAATTTCGTATTTGAAGTTCCTAATGGGTACTACAGCCTGTCACCGCAAATTGTCGATACAGGTCCGCGTTTTGGTATAGCACCCATATAACGGTACCTCCCTATATTCGGCATTTTAATGATTTTAGCGATATTATTCACCGGAATTGTTTCAAATTTTCTTTTTTAAGTTCCTAATGGGTACTACAGCCTGTAACCGCAAATTTTTCATACAAGTTCAACGTTTTGGTATAGTCCCCATATAACGGTACCTCCCTATATTCGGCACCTTAATGATTTTAGCTACATTATCCACCGGAATTTTTTTAAATTTCGTATTTGAAGTTCCTAATGGGTACTACAACCTGTGACAAAAGATTGCCTAAGCAGGTGGATTTCTTTGTATTCACTGGAATAGTTTCAAGTTTCCTATTAGGACAAAATACGTTTTCGTGTAGACCTCGTTATAACGGTAACTGTACTCTTAACATTTTACAATTTTCAATACTTTTATCTGTCATAACTTGCGAACCAAATTTGCGATTTTTTACAACTTGTATCTAAATAATTTATGATTTATTACGAATTTATGATTCGCATAAAATTGGATATAAATGTTCGATTTTCTTGTAATTTTGCCAATATCAATATATGTATTTGTGTTAGGTGAAGTTTAAAGATGGAATACTTCGGTCGACTATGTCTGGTAACTAACTATCGTTTTAACATTTTCTAAAAATTATCATATATCTCATATAAAGTGAAAAAAGTAGTTGATATTTCAAAGTTCAATTGTCAAAAAGTCTATGGAATAAAAATTTTAGCCGATATATTTGAAGATTATATTTTCATTTAATGATGTTTTTAATAATATTCCCATAATATATTTCTTAAAATACATTTTGCATAGCCGTCTATGCCTGAACTTAGCACTTTTGCAAACAAAGCGTTTTTTCTATATTTTAAAACAGCCAAATTAGCAACACTGGCTTTATCTTCAACACTTCCTTGCACTCTCAATCACACTCTCTCCCTCTGTCTCTCTCTCTCACACACACAGCAAAACAATATGAACAATAATAATAATAACCATGCAAGCATACGTCGTATTTTGTCGATTCATTTGTTTTTGTTTTTTTTTTTTTTTGTATTTTTGATTTTTGCTCTTTCACATTCATCCATATCTCTGGCTTTTTTATTGTTGTTGTATACGTCGTCGACGTCCAATACGTAGATCAACGACGTCGTCGCCGTATATAAAATAAGATATAAAATTATTTTTACTTTTTTTTTTGAGAGATTGTTGAGTTCTTTTTTTTATGACTGGCAATTGTTTTAACAAAAAAAGCTAATTTTTTGCATTTCAGAAGTTAAAACTGCAAACGAAGATAGGAGTTATTTTAAGTGCTGTTCTGTTAAATGTTTCGAGATAATATTGTTGTGCCTGATTAGTGCCACGTTAAGAAGTTTATAATTTTGATAGGTAAGGTAACTACTGAACGAACAAAGTGATTTGGAATAAATAATTTCGGTTTGGGGGGATTTTTCGTTGGAAATCGATTGAGTGTATTAACGAATGATTATAGGTACCCAAATTGGATTTTTTTTATAAGTGCAGAGGTACTTTGTTATGTGACAAAAGAAATTACATTTCCATGCAAAATATACAAAAAAGGAAAGAAAAGTATCGATTTCGAAGGTAGCCCGAGCACTACACTGTTATGTACTTATATACCTATAAACTTTAAAATGAATGTACCTTCTTTTTATACCCTCCATCATAGTATGGAAGGTATATTAAGTTTGTCATTCCGTTTGTAACACCTCTAAATATACATTTTAGACCCCACAAAGAAAATATATTCTCGATCATCAAAATATAAAAATAAAATTCTATGTAGATTTAGCGATGTCCGCTGTCTGTTGTCCGACAGTGGAAATCACTCTAGCTTCTGAACGAAATGAAGTAGGCTGATAAAAGTTTGCTCAAATGTATTTTATGTCTGCGGGACTTTTGGTATTGAAAATGGGTCATGTAGGTCCACGTTTTGGTATAGCCCCCCATATAATGGAATCTCTCTATTTTCGATATTTCGATGTTTTTAGCCACATTATTCACCGGAATTATTTCAAATTAGATATTTGATATGACCTATGACAGAAAATTGACTGTGCAGGTCCACGTCTTCGTATAGCCGCCATATAACGTACCTCTCGATATTCGGTATTTTGATGATTTTAGCGACATTATTCGCCGGAATTCTTTCAAATTAAATGTTTGAAGTTCGTAATGGTTCGTATTGCAGCCTATGACAGAAAATTATCTGTGCAGGTCCACGTCTTCGTATAGCCCCCATATAACGTTACCTCCCCATATTCGGTATTTTGATGATTTTAGCGACATTATCCACCGGAATTGTTTCAAATTTGGTATTTGAAGTTCGTAATGGATACTGCAGCGTAAGACATAAAATTGTCTGTCCAGGTCAACGTCTTCGTATAGCCACCATATAACGTAACCCCCCGATATTCGGTATTTTGATGTTTTTAGCCACATTATTCACCAGAATTGTTTAAAATTTGCCATTTGAAGTTCGTAATGGATACTACAGCCTATGAAAGAAAATTGTCTGTGCAGGTCTACGTCTTCGTATAACCATCATATAACGGTACCTCCCAATATTCAGTATTTTGATGATTTTAGCGACAATATTCACCGGAATTCCTTCAAATTACATATTTAGAGTTCGTTATGGGCACTACAGTCTGTGACAGAAAATTGTTTATGCAGGTCCAGGTCTTCGATAGGCCCCATGTATCAGTACCTCCCTATATTCGGTATTTTGACGATTTTAGCTACATTATTTACCGATTATTTTTTTTTGTTAAGTTTCGCATTTGAATATTGTAATGGCTCATGACAAAAGTTACCAACGCAGGTCCATGTCGTCGTATAGACCCTAATGTAACAGCTGCATTCGGTATTTTTTACGATTTTAACAGAATTTTTAACGGATTTTATTGTTGTTGAGAATTGCCAAATTCGTTCCAAATGGTGGAGGGTATTCAAAATTCGGCCCGTCCGAACTTACAGCTTTTTTTACTTGTTTTTTTTTTTTATTAAATATGATCAAATTTTACAGGTATGCGAAAACCTTTTTAAAATTCTAAATTTTGAAAAGTGCATTTTGTCTTGTCTTAACCCTGCCATATACATAACTTTTGTGATATCAGGGATCTATAGATCGATTTTGTACATTAAACTTATTTATGATATAAAAAATCAAAAATTTTCCTCTACCAAACCATACCATATGTTCGTTGATAATATGTCTGGAATAGTTCATAAAAATTGCTGTATGTGTGTGTATGTATGTAAATATGTATCTTGTTGCACTTCTATTTTACTACTGACCATAACAACAGCAGCAACAACTGGTCATTGGATAGGAGAAAAATTTCCTTTAATTAAATGTCAATTCGTCTGGCACTGTTTCTTCTTCTTCTTCGTTTTTATTTATTCATTCGCAAATGACGTACAATTATTTTCAATATGTTTCGAACGACAAACAGGAGGCAAGAAAGAACAGACATGCATGCATACA